CACCAAAGGTCACTCTTACCCAGGGTCACACTTGCGTGTAGTCGACGGAAGTCCCCTGGCCTTCTGAGAAATGTTCACCTTCCCCGAAGACACAGAAAACCTTTCAGAAGCCGCGAGGGCGTCTGAGAATTCCCGCCGCCGCCTGAGAAGGCCTTCTCCTTCCCACTTCCCCCCCTCGCTCGCCGCCGACTGGAGCAACGCCCGCCGCAGGCGTGATGTCGGGCCGCATCTACGTGTGCGGCGGCTGGGGCGGGCCCCACCCGGTGCGCACCGTGGAGCGGCGCCTCCGCATCCCCCGCCGATCCTCGGGCCGCGCGCTTGCCGCTCTGCCCGCCACCGCTCAGGCCGGACGAGAGGGGTCAGGGGCGAATCGGGGCTCAGGAGACGAGGGTCGATGCAACCGGGGTTCAGTCAGAGCGCCAGATCTTGCAGGATCCTGCAGGGCCAGGGTTGCATTGACCCGGGCTTGGGTGCAGGATCCTGCAGGATCTTGCAGAAATTTGCAGGATCCTGTAGGGTCTGGATTGGACCGAGTCAGTAGATCCCCGAGCGAAGCAAAGAAGTAGCCAGATGTCCGACGATATGAAGTGTTCAGCCCGGCAGGTTTTCCTCGATTTCAGCTTCCGGGCCCGTTATGGAGTCCTGGGGCCATCAGAAACGATGCGGGTCGACAAACTTGCCCGGGGACGGGGTCGGGACCTTTGGGGCCGCGCATTCTTTCTCTCGCTCTCTCTCTCTCTCTCTCCATAGATGTAGATATAGGTATATGCATCGCACGTATACCTGACCGCATAGTTATGGGTTTCAAGAGGTCGCATCACGTGACCGCTCGTGACGGACTGGCGGCCTCGCGAACGAGGGGGGCGGAAGCATGAGTTTTTGTCTGTGCTCAGGGGGTGCGAAGATTGCTACATGCAGCTGGCTTCTGCTCCGCCGCCGGAGGCTGCCCTCGGTACATTTGCACCTCTGGCGTTGGGAGGCGCCGACAACAACAGCTACGTCAGCTGATTCGCTACCCCCCTGGTCGTTTGACCCGAAGTCTTGCACAGTTCAGGGCCGAAGGGCCGAGGTTGTTGTGGAAAGTCTTTGGCTTCTGGCAGTCTCCCAGCTCCGAGACCGTCGAAAGACGATCCTGGGTGAAACACCGGTCCTCCAGAAGTGGTCCAGAAGGTCCAGGGGGTCCGCCTCGACTAAACAAACGGCATAAAGGCCTCAGCATCAACGCTGCACCAGAAGACACATGGTGAGTCAACTTCGAAATGTCGGCGCCACCCGAACATACCAACACTGGTTCATATCGGCAGCACGTGTGCCGCCTTGTGCATCGCTGGCACAGCACGCGCACGACACGGACACGGCACGCCACGGCACGGCGGCACGTTCTTCGCTTTCTCGAGCGCGAGTGCGGCATGCGCGCGGCATGGCACGCAGGCGGTACGCCACGGCACGCGGACGGCACGTGCTTCGCACCCTGCCGCGCGGCCAGGCGCACGGGACGGCCCGGCACGCGGGCACGGCACGCACACGGCGCGGGCGTGTGGCGCAGTACGGCAGGGCCACGGCGAGGCGCACCTCTGTGGCACTTCGGAGCAGGGGCGCGGCGCACGCATGGCGCGGCACGCGGGCGGCACGGCGCGGGTACGGCGTGCGGGTGCGGGCGCGCCTGTCGCACGCTAGCACTGAGAGACCGGCTCTCACACTGCAGCGGGGCCCCTTGTCGCGTTCGTCATGCCCCGGGGGGTCGTAGAGAGGGAGGGTCGTCTCAAGGCGGGGTTGGGGGGTGCATCCCGCCGGCTGCCCAGATGTTCCCCTGCCAGGAGCCGTGCAGACATAGTTTCGTCGAGCCCCACCTCTGTGCCCCTACCCCATCCTCACGTCCCCCCGGCATGCAGGGAGCAAGACGTCGGAGCTCTGGGCTCGCTCCCCCTCGATGCGGCGGCGCTTCAGGAGGGGCTTCGCCGTCGAGAGCTCGACAGGAGTGGCCTCCCTTCCTCGGTGGAAGGCCCGCAGCAGGGGCTTCGCCTTCGAGGGATCGGCAGGAGTAGCCCCTCTTCCGCGGCGGAGGGCCGGCGGAAGCAGAATTGGGCGGCTCCGCCGGCGGAAGGCTCGCCACGATCGAAATGGATACGGAAAGAGTGGACAGCAGTCCGTGTTCACGTTGACCAGGACTCGCTGTTGGTGTCGCCGCGGACGTGGCCCATTTGAGACAGAAGGCCGTATTCCCAGCAGCGGCCGCTGTCAGTTTTGGACAACAGTTGCTGTTGGGCATCGTACCCATCTTTCCCGTACTCATTTGGGCGTCTAAAAAGGCCAGCGGAAGCCGGCGGAAGGCGGTGGAAGTAAAGGATGACACCATACGAAGCGCCATTCCGTCGGGGCAAAACACTTGGCATGAATATGAGTTGTCTGACGTCCGCGCGGATTTCTCAGATCGGCGCTGGAGCCCCCTGGCGGCGCCTCTGGCGCTGCCTCCGGCGCGCTCCGCACTCTAGGGAGGGGGGGGCCCAGCGCACAGCCAAGAAATCCACGCGAGCTTCTGACAGTTGTTCCCACTGGTCCGTCTGGAGGCAGAGTTTCTTGATCGTACTGGCAGCACCTCCTCCTTATTTTTGGAGGGCGTCGCGGATTAGGGGGGGACTGCAGAAGAGGGATCCTTCGGGTACCCTGGCCCAAGAGGAGCACCATTCTTCCCCCCCATGTATCGCACCCCCCCTCAAAAAGCGACGCCCAATGCTTGACTGGACATGTTGTCTGCGCCGCCACTCACGTTGCCCGCTTGGGACGAGCGTCACCTGCCAGACAGCCGCCGCCGTCGGTTTTGGACAACACTTGCTGCTGGGCATTGTCCCCCACCTTTGGCAGCCCCCATTCGGGGGCTTGCCGAGTGCCCAGGCTTCCCACATGGGCCTGAGCAGATGAGCGCAGAGGAGCGTGCCGCATCGCCGACGCATCAGCAATGCGGCTAGATGTGGAGCCCGATTTCCTGAACGCCAGCGTCACCGATGTATCGCCGACGTCGCGGATGCATCGCCCATTTATCGACGATGCGGCTCGATCCTCCGACCCCATTCGGGAGGAGGAGGAGGAGGAGGAGGAGGAGGAGGAGGAGGAGGAGGAGGAGGAGGAGGAGGTGGAGGAGGAGGAGAAGGAGGAGGAGGGAGGGAGGGATGGAGGAGGGAGGAGAGGAGGAGGGAGGAGCGAGGAGGATCAGAAGGAGGAGCGAGGAGGAGAGGAGGAGGAGGAGGAGGAGGGAGGAGGAGGAGGAGGAGGAGGAGGGACGAGGAGGGGGAGGGAGGGAAGAGGACCCCCCGTGAAGTTGAGGCGGCGTTCGCGCGACCGTTCCAGCCTCAGGGCCCCCCGGGGGGCCTCTCCCGGGCCCCCCGTAGGGGCCCCACAGCGGGAGCGGCCCGCGGCGGGGGGGCTCCACAGCGGAAGGAAGAGAGGCGCGGCGGCCCGCGGCGCCTCGGGGGTCGGGAGGCCGCGGGGGCCCACGCAGCAGAGAGATTGGCGTCGGGGGGGGTCGGAGGAGGAGGGGGTACCGTCGGGCCGCTGGAATCAGGAACGCGAAGGAACGCTAAAGAAGGAACGAAGCCCTTCCTGGCCCTGAAGGCGCCAGCGTGCACGAGAAGGGTTGGAGCAAGAACCATGGAAAGACCTAAAGAACCTCGAGCCCCTTCCGAACGCCAGCTGTTCCTTATTTCAACGACTTGACTGTACGGTCAAGTCGGGCGTGTCCTAGCACAGGAGGAGTATTCGAAAATAGTCAAAAAATCTGGGGACGATTCCTTTTTGCATGTTTTGATTATTTTCGAATCGTTTTGGCTACTTTTTATTTTTTCCGTCCAAGATTCCTCATGCCCGACCTAACGGTACGGTCGGACCGAGGTATAAGATCGAGGTCGGTTCGGGGAAGGCGCCCTAATGTTCTTCGTGCTTGTTGGACGCTCTTGTGCGTCCTTGGGGAGGGTGCCCTCGAGTGTTCCTCAGTTTGGCCGGCGTAGGGCCTCGTGCTCTTGAAGGATGTCCTTGTGTCTTTGGTTTGGCCGTGCCCATGCCACTACCCTTGCCGCGGTTTCCCCTCTCTGGGCCTTCTGGGGGGCCATCGTCGCCGCCGCTGGATTCGCCTCGAAAGTCTGGTCAGAACGCACCCCGGGAGAGGTCCGGCGAGTAGCGGTACCGGTACTTGTTGGTCTCTCCACGAGGGAGGTTTGTTTGGATCTTCCTATTCTGATTATTTAATCCTCTCCCTCCTCATCACCATCGTGGATTATCCTCATCACTCTCGCCCTCCATGGTCCAAGTCCCTCCTGCGTATCCTCTTACATCCTCATCATCCTCATCCATCCCCTCTGCATGTCCCCCCCCCCTCCTCCCCATCATCCATGCATTTCTCGTCATCCGCCTCTCCCCCCCTCATCGTAATCATGTTCATCCTCACACGTCTTCTCCTCCGTTTCCTACGCTGTCCTCATCCGTCCTCTCCCTCCCTCCTTTTGCATATTTCGTCGGCGAGCGCGCCAGAGGCCAGCCGTCTTGCCTCTCGCGTCGTGTTCTGTTCGGCCAGCACTTCGCCTCCGCCCTCACGTTCTTTCCCTCTCTCCTCGCGTATACAGGATGAGGGGGCGGAGGAGGAGGTGGAGGAGAAGGAGGAGGGATAAGGAGAGGGAGTGAGGAGGAAGAGGAGGAGAAGGAGGAGGAAGAGTTAGCAGGATGAGGAAAGAGGTTGGGGTAAGGGATGATGAGGAGAAGGAGGAGCAGAGGGATGAGCAGGAGGGGAGGAGGAGGAGGAGGAGGAGGAGGAGGAGGAGGAGGAGGAGGCGAACGAGGACGACGTCGAGGATGATAATCCCGTAAGAGAACGAGGAGGGGTGGAGGAGGAGTCGAAGAAGCCTCACCCCTCCCTCCCCCTCCTCATCCGCGACTTTGAGGCGGGGAGTTTGTTGTCTAGTTGGCTCCTTAGCACGTAGCTTACCTCGACATAGATCCGCATCCGCAGCGCCATGCCAAGGCCCACGGCCACATGCCCACGGCAGGCAGTGGATGGGTTGCTCCTACACAGTGCAAGCCGAGGACAGTCAAGCATCTGATTCAGAAACCTTCTCCCGCAAAGCTGGGCCAGCGTTTCTCAACCCACTTGCTGGAAAGCTGGCCCAGTTTCTTGAGCACGGTCGCCCCTCCATCTTTGGCAACCGAAATTGGCCTGGTCTTGGTTCAATGAACTTCCGGGAAGCTGGCCCAGATTACTTCAACGATATTGTTCCTGGTCATCTGTCCGGCTGTACGGAATCGGCCTGCCTGGAGGTGCCCCAGGGAGGTGTCGTGTCCCCCGATGGTCCCAGGGGGTTCACACAAGCCTCGGGGCACCTCGGCCCCCCCAGAAATCGACGAAGAGAGTGACCCAAGACTCCTTACACAAAGACTTCGTAGCGTCTGCGCCCACTGCAGATCATCGCACGTATCTAGTGGCCTTCGCCCTATCCAGCGTGGGGTCTCGAGGAAAGCGTGTTGGAGGCCTATTTGGGCCCTCTTGGGAGCCTCCACGAGAGCTCTTGGGAGCCTCTGGGACCCTCTCAGGGGCCTCTTGGGGCTCTTGAGGGGCCTCTTGGAGCTGTCCTGGGGGCATCTGGGTGGCTATTTGGACCCTCATCGGGGCCTCCTCGGGGTTCTTGGGGGCCTCTTGGGGCCTCTTTGGGGGCCTCCGGGGGTGCCTTGAGGCGGTCGGGGGGGCCGTATTGGGGCGTACTGAGATGACCGTAGCGGTTGCTACGGGGGATACAGTCAGGGCACATAGTAAGGATGAGCACTTGGTCAAGGTTGCCCTTGCAGCCTTGCCCCTTCGGCCCATCCCTGGCAACTTTCGCTGGCCAGCCCCGTTCGGAAAACGCCAAAATGGCCCTCCAAAACCCTTGCATCCTTACCGAGCGTCCTTGCTATGCAACTTTAGGAGGTTAAGAAGTGGATGTCAAAGTGGGATATACCTGGCCTAGTTTAGCTCATCAGTGTGCTACAGGTGCCCTCAGTGGTTCAGGGTGGATGAGAGCGGAGCCCACCTAGCCCGCATCGCTTACCCCCCTAAACCACATAGGGTACTTGTAACTCACGTATAGGATTGGTTAGGCCACATGTAACCACCTTCGCATACGCTTCTAAGCTCATGAGCCCCTATCTCTTTAGCAACTTAGTGTCTCGATACGCCCGTTTGAAACGCAACACGTACCGTGCTCAAAACGTCCGTGTCAATCCGTTGCGCATTAGTTTAAAGTATTGGCTCACATTTTGGCGAACGTATCGCTACGTGTTGAAACCCGTATCAATACGCTACATGGTGCGTGTTGCGTATCGGGGCAGCGCAGCTTAGCTAACGCCGCGGTCGTCTCAGTAGGGCCCGAAAGTTCTTTTCGATTTCCTTGTCTGTCCCGATCTTGGGGGACTGTCGGGGGCTCAGGGGTGCATTGGGGGCCCTCTTGGAGCTGTTTCGGACGCGCTTGAGAACGAAGCGAAAAGGCTGTTCAGTGGAGTCACAAAAAGATCCCCATTGATTTTGATGATCTGTGCCTCTTGGGCTGGCCCCCAGGGCCTCCGAGACGGCCACAGAGTGCCCCGTGGCGGCCCCTCGGAGCAGTCTCTGTACACGTGGCAAGTACGAACCCAGGAGCGCTTTCCCGAGGTCCAGGCCTCCGAAGGCCCCGGGAGAAGCCATTCGACAAGCCCCGGGAACGTCCGGGAGGGCCAGGGAAGTTCCTCAATTGGGTGTTGCTGGAAGTGCCCCTGGCCCAAGGTGCCCCCAGGCTTTTTGGGGGTGGCCCAGACGGCCTCCGGAGCACCCCTCACGAGGCCCTTGCGGCCCCAGGGCTTCCAGAATGGAGCGAACAGCTGGGGGCACCTTTTGCCAGGGGCACCTCTAGCAACACCCGACTAGCCGCGGTCTCGGGCCCTGACGGAGCATTCACACGCAGTGGGCCCTGGAAACCACGGGGCTGTTGTGTCTGAGCTCCTTAGTGCGTCTCCGTCGCTGTTTTTGTTGTGTTTCCAGCTGCGGTTCTGATTCCAGTGCAGTTGTTGTTCCCATGTCGGCGAACCGCCTCATTGCGTTATCACGCTCAGGAGCCAGATGTTCGGAAACGGTTGAAAAGAATTGCTCTGCTGTGCCGCTTCCAGGGCCCATTCAGCTTTTACAGCCCCCAATTCACAGAGTGCGAGACATCCAGGACTTGAGGACACTCTTCGGTGCTCCGCGAAGAACAGTGGCGGACATGCTGCAACCGAGCCAGCGCGGGCGCTGTCAGACTCCGCTCATCCTCATCCTCCCCCGCCCATCTTCCTCCTTCAGCCTGTGTTCGGCCTGCATTGCCCGTTTGATGTCTGCGAGGTTTCGCGTCCCCGTTGCGTTTCGGTCGGCCCCTACCACCCTGTACCTCTCGGGCCCTCGCTCTCGCTCGGTTGTCGGTCCTCCTCGGGCTCCTAATGGGCTCTCTGCCGCGCTGAGGGAGCTGGGGCTTGACGCCAATCCACGGCCAAACAGATTACCCCAACGTCGGCCCCAAGTATGAGTGCACTGCATAACAGCGCAATCACCATACGAAACCGGTGGCAACACCAGCAGCAGCCACGCCAGCAAAGCTGGCGGAGGTCTCGGACAAAGAGTCCCCATGACGAAGTAAGAACCTTTCATGCTGACACATGCTTGAGAGAGCGATCGTTGTCTTAGTCACTGTTCTGTCGATGGGCGCGGGTCCTCGCCCCCCCCCCCCCCCGTGGAGTAGATCTTGGCTGCTTTTGGCGCCAGCTTCGAGCAGGTGGAGCACGCACTGGGGCCCCGCCTCCCCGTAGCATTCCCCATGGGAGCACCGTGCGAAGCAGTCGCACTGAGCAGAGAGGGTCAGAGCCGGACCTCCCCCCCCCCTCCCCCCCCTCCCGCTCCATGTCGACACGCCGGATGAGACCACGCACACGAGACAGAATCTCCTCCGCACGCCGGCGGGCCCCCCGAGAGCGACGGGGCGCCTCCCCCGCATGCAGGTTCGACCCCGCCGCCGGCAGGTGCGCGCCCCGCCCTCCGCGCCGCAGCGCGCGCGCGCGGGAGGCAGGCTCGGCGGCGCGCGTCGGGGCGGCCCGTCGCCGGAGTGGCCTTTGCTGCGCGTCCCTTTGGGGGGCGCGGGCGGCAGGAGCAATCCGGCCAGGCTCCACTCGGACGGCTGAGCTCGGCCAGGCTGGACTCGGCCGGCTGATCTCGGCCGGGCTGATCTCGGCCAGGCTGAATGTGGCTAAGTTGGATTCTTCCCGGGCCGAGTTCGGCCTGGCCGAGCCCAGTCTGGCCGAGTCCAGCCTGGCCGAGTCTTTCCCTTGTCCGCGGAGCTTTTCGGGAGTTCCTTTTGAGTTTTCGGGAGTTTTCGGGGATCCGCGAACTTTTTGGGAGTTCCCCGCTGAATTTTCTAAAGTTTTCGGGGCCCGGGGTGCTCTGTTCGGGGGGTGCCAGAATCGTCCCGAACGGCCGTCGTGGAGCCGAGTTATGCCCTGAAAACCAAGGGCGGCGTCGGGATTTGAGATGGACCCAGCAGGCACGACGGAAACCCAGTGCAAAGTTCTAGGGTTGCCATGTGTGGCTTATTGCGGGATTCGAGGCAGGGTCCGTTCGATATCGCGAATAAAAGACGTTGCTTCTTTCAATTTCCCGTTGCAGCGGGGTCCCGGATCCAGGTAGACATGCATCAAATCGTGTTTTTGAGATAGGTTCTGGGACGCGGCGAAGTCTGTAGCAGAAGTATAGAAACCCCAAACGGGATTGCGCCCAGTTTGATATTACTCGGCACGATCCCGCCGCGTATCTGCTCACCTTCTGAAGAAACGCAAACTCTCCCGATGTCGATGCACGTGTCCCGCCGTGCGCTCGTGGAGCTACCGAGGCCCACATTCTAATCTGAATTCTCCGCGTTTCACTCTGTCGCAGGGATGGTTGTTGCATGGTCGTGCGCGCTCTCTCTTTCTCTCTCTCGCTCTCTCCGCCTCGGCCTCCCTCCCTCCTCCCCCCTCCAAATCTTAAGTGTTGTCCCAATCGCGGTTCAGGAATGCATTTTGCGCAAGTTTTCCGTGCCCTGTTTTGAACGACCCCCGCTACCACTCTGAACATCTGGATGCCATCTCACTTGCTTCTGTTCGGCTTCCAGCAGTTGTAAAGACTGCTGTTCTTAAGCTTTCTGGCCTCCTGATTCGCCAACACCTCATCATGGTATTCACCGCCACTGCTTTGCAACGGGAACGAAGCATCAGCGCCCACGGGTGGCCGCGCGCTTCTCTGAACAGCGTAGCTGTGAATGGATCCACTTGAATTTTGCGGGGGTCGTGCGAAGGTCTTGCGGCTCCTTTTCTTGCGCTTGGCGGATACAACTTCTGGCTTGAATCAGTTGCCGGAAATCACGGGGCACCGCGCGTGACACATGACGGTGTGAGATACGGCCCCCCCACCATCTTCGCAATCATCCTCATCGTCATCATCATGCTCACCGCCATCATCAACAACGTCGTCATCGTCACCGCCACCATCATCACCGCCAATTCGAGTGTCATGACGGGCGTACACCCAAGCAAGTTTCCCATCGCAGTGATGAGCTCGACCGTCATTGCGGGTACTTGCGTTGCGAGCTCAAGATAAGAGTATGTCGGCCTGCGGCAGTATAGCCCGCGCTGTCGCAATGAATTCCCGCCAACGGTTTTTGTTCACCATGTTTATTCACCGTGAACCCCTCGATTGCTTACCGAAAAACTGCGGAACGTCGCACATGAGTTGTGAGTGATGTTATTGGAGACCCCCGCTCGGCTTGCGCCTGGCCGCCAGGGCGAATTGCGTTCCGATTCCAGGAAGGAAGAAGCTCCGGCATGGGGATGCAGTGCGTTTCTTTCCAAAACAACGAATGCCGAACGTTGCGTTGGTCTTCGTCCCCCCAACGTAACGGGGCAGCGCATCGACCCCTGGCCGCTCCTTGAATCGCCGACGGGCGCTCGACTCCCCCACGCCGCCTGGGAGCGTGCGGTTTCGCCATCGGGGGCGGATCGCCGATGCATCGGCGACGCGTCGCCGATTCCAGCGCGACGCTCCCTGCCCCGAGCCAGTCCCCCCCCCTGCCGTTCGCCCTGGGGGGCGGGGCGGGGGGGGGGGGGGCGACCGAAGCCTGGAACTCGCCACTGTCGCATATCGCCAGCATTGATCGGCAAGGCGCGCACCAGGGGTCACTCATGCCCATGGCCGCTCTTCGCGTGCAGCCAGGATCTCTGCAGCCGTCCCACCCGAACTGTCCAGCGAGAACCCAGGCCTCCGATCATGTGACATGTGTTGAAGTATCGATGGTTCTCCGACAAGGCGTTTTTGCAGTATGGGTCCAGAATGGATTCAGTGTGGATGTTTTCATCTTGGGCGTGGATGTGTGCTGGTTTTCTCTGCGCAAGCTGTAGAAATTATCAATGTAAGTATGCATCGCCGAATTGTATCTGCAAGGATCTTCGTAGTCGTTGATAAGCCCTGTGATGTCACAGGAATCCGTGTGATCGGAACAAGGGAAAACCATACAGATTCTGGCCGACATCTACGCGAGAGTCCATGCGAATATCAATGCGAGGTCGGCTTGGCGGGGACCCCGTTTCGGGCCCCAGGGCCGTCAAACATTGGTCTGGGACTAGATGCTGTCTTTGGGGAGTGGTCGGGAGCTCTGGAACTGCGGATTCGGAACACCTCATAGTACGAAGTCGAGGGAGATTAGAAGATCGAGGTTCAAGTGCTTGTGTTCCTTCGTGATCTCTGCAGGCCTCCGAAAGGTCCCTCCAAGACCCTTGGAGGTCACTGGGGCGCGCGGGAGGTCCCTTGCAGCCGTCGCACCGACAGCGGCTGACGAGAAGGTTCGAGGCTCGAGGTTCGAACGTGCGTTTTGCTCGCATTTTGGTGTTGCGTTTGGCCGTGTTAGCGTGCGCCCGAAAGGGGGGGATGCTCCAGCGCCGCTCCGAGGCATCCGCGCGGACCTCCAAACGTCTGTGCCCCTGTGGCCTTTGAGCCCGGTTATTCGAGGTGTGGGCAGGTGCCCTCCTCCTCCTCCTCCTCCTTCTCCCCTCCTCCTCCTCCTCCTCCTCCTCCTCCTCCTCCTCTTCCTCCTCTTTCTCCTCCTCCTCCTCCTGCTCCCCCCTCCTACCTTCCTCCTCCTCCTCCTCCTCCTCCTCCTCCTCCTCCTCCTCCTCCTCCTCCTCCTCCTCCTCCTCCTCCTCCTCCTCCTCCTCCTCCTCCTCCTCCTCCTCCTCTCCTCTCCTCTTCCTCCTCCCCCTCCGCTGCTCCTCCTCCTCCTGCACCTCCTCCTACTCCCTCTCCTCCCCCTCTTCCTCCTCCCCCTATTCCTGGGGCGCGCTTTGGCGAGCATTTCGAAGCGGAAGTGGATCCGGCTGTGGCCGCGAGGGCATTTAAGGCGGCCCACAACGAGGCAGCAGCGGCAAGAAATCAAACATGTTATCGTCGAACTTCGCCAGAGGTCTGCCTCCTGCTGGCATGAGGGAGAGCTGTCCTGAGGCAAACGGGTTCTGGATCCCAGGGCCTTCCCTGGGACCAGTTTTTCGTTCCGAATCGTTCTTTGACGGCGTCCCAGGGCCCGGGATGGGGCCCCAAGGGGCCGGAGGTGGCGAACATAGTTGGCACCAAATTCCCCATCAGGACCCCTTGTCCTCGCACTTAGCTGCACCCTCCCTCGCTGAGAATTGTTGTTTTCATCCTGGACCATTTTCTGGCAGCTCTAGGGCCCGAAGCGGTCCCCAGGGCCCCATGCTCAGGAGACGAGATGCCGCATCGACGCCTCACTTGACTCTGGAGCAGAGGTCCCGACGACACAACAAATACACATGAGACTTTGGGAGGTCCCCGTGGACTTTTTGCATCAGCGCCAGACTCCTCCCTGCCCCTGTCCTCTTCCCCCTCCTCTCGGCGCGTTTTCGCCAGCGCTCACTGTCATCATCATTATCATCCTCATCATCATCCGCAGCATCATCATCATCATTACCGTCATCACGATGATGAGAACCATTACGATGATGATGAGGAGGAGGATGATGATGGTGGATCATCATCATCAGCATCATCATCATCATCATCACCATCACCATCACCATCACCATCATCATCATCATCATCATCATCATCATCAACACCATCATCATTAACAACATCCTTATCATTATCATCATCATCATCATCATCATCATCATCATCATCATCATCATCATCATCATCGTCCTCATCCTCATCCTCATCCTCATCCTCATCCTCTCCTCGGAGGAGGAATTGCTCTTCCCGCTCGTCAAGTTGGCTCCGAGCCATTCTCCCCCCCCCCCCATCGTCCCCGTGCCCGCCCGCCGGAGGTGGGAGCAGATGCCTCCGATGCTCGTCGCCCGCTGGGGCGCCGCGGCAGGCGCGCGCGCGCGCGCCCGGGGCGGGGCGAACTGAGGTGTGGGTACATCGCTCCGTGTGGCGCCTGAATCCTGAAGCCCGCTCCTTACAAATGACTCGTCCTTGTCGCAGCCCCAGACGTGTCAGTAGGGTAGGGCCGGGCGTTTCGCCTGACGTTTTGTTACCAGTTGCGATCTTTGCCCCTAGATTTGGTACAGCTTCACGGATTTGGGCCGGCTGTTTTTTTAATGCGGTTCTCGCTTTAGCGCCGCGAATGGTTTGCGGGCCGTTTTGAAAATGTGGTTCTCGTTTTAGCGCCGCGCGCATAGTTTTGCAAAAACGTGGGGCTTCACAGATGGAGGGCGGGCCGCTTTCAAAATGTGGGTCTCGCGCTAGCGCCGCGCATATTCGTTTTGACAGTCTGTAAGAGCTTCGCGGATGGAGGGTGGCTAATTTTCAACATGTGTTTCTCGCCTTAACGCCGCGTTCATTCGTCTTACCAGTCTGTGAGAGTTGTACGACTGGAGGACGGCTCATTTTCAAAATGAGGCTTTCGCCGTAGCACCGCGCACACTCCTTGCATTAATAGTCCACAGCCGTTGCTTGATGTCCCAGATATGGAGTTGTGGCACGATGTAGGATTTTCAGGGCGCAACAGGTACGTCAATTCGCAGTGTTGACCTCCCAGGAATCGCGTTCTGGTGCGATTCCGGATCGTCCGGGCGCAGCGGTAACGCTGATTTGCGGCGTTGAAGTCCCAGGAATGGTGTTCTAGCACGGTCGAGGATTTTCTGATCGTTGTCTTCCAACATGGCACTCCCATCAGTGAATATATATATATATATATATATATATACAGATGTGTTGTAGGGACCTACGAAGAGGGAATTTGCAGGGAGGGTATATTGCGACATCGTTCGTGCGTCTTGCTCCTCCTCCTGCTTCTCCCCTTGGAATCTTCGGCCCCGTGCGTCAGCACTGGGCCGTTGGGCCGCCAACAGAACGCCGCCGGGCGAAAAGCCGGCCCTGGGAAAAGGGTTGGGGCTTGTCGGGGTCTCGTACTGCAGACAGTCTGAGCTCCCGATGCCAGGGCACTGCAAGCCAGGACGTTGCCAGATCCAGCGGAAGAAAGAAAACGGAGGCCAGTGAAGATTTCTACCCACGGCTGCAGCTCTCTTGGTGCGCCAGGGCTCTAGTGTTACTCAAGAGGCTTACGCCGTTCTGCCGAGCCCCAGAAAAAAAAGGAAGAAGTCCACGGGCGAGCCTTTTTGGGGCCTCTCGGGGGACACCTTGGGGCCTCTTGGAACCTCTTGGGGCCTGTTGGGTGTTTCTTGTGCCGTCGTTGAAGCACATCACCGGGAATAACGAAAGCACAATTTGAGGAAGGGCAGCAGGGTTTGTGTGGAAACCTCCCGGTTTCAATCTGTTGAATGTTTGCACACGTTTAAATCGAATGCGCACGGTGCTAAGGCGAGAGCCATGTTTTGGAAACGAGCCGCCCTCAATCCGCGAAGCTCTCGCGCCTGGCGCGACGGCGAGAGCCACACTTTGAAAACCACCCGCCCTGAACTAGGTGGAACTTCTGCAAGCTTTTATAACGAATGTGCGTGGCGCTAAGGCGAGAGCCACATTGTGAAAACCACCCGCCTTCCGTGTGTGAAACTGCTGCCAGCTTCTAAGCTCACGGCTCATAGATGGTGAAGAAGTCTCACGTGAAACGCCCGGCCCGCCTTTCTGATTGGCCTCGGGGTGCGACAGGGACGAATTATTCAGAAGGAGCAGTGATGGAGGAGGAGGAGGAGGAGGAGGCGACGAAGCAGGAAGAAAGAAAAACGAGGAGCATGCGCAGGAGACGGCAGAAGAGGAAACGGAGGAGGAAAGGAAGGGAGGTGCAAAGGGGGCAGGGCACGGCGACGAGGAGGAAGACGCGCAGAGTGAATACGAGGAGGTGGGGGCGACACGGCGCGACGGTCCGGTTTGAGCTAGCGTGCGACATCTTTTGAGCCTTGGTGCGGGGTCAGAAAGCTGAAACGGCAAGCGGCGGACATGATCGAACAAACGTGTGACAGTTCAGCTGGTGTTTGGCGTAAGTCCCGCCACCGCTTTTGGATTGTGAGACGGAGGCTTCGTGGACGCTTGTGTTTTTGTTGGGGGGGAGGCCTTTTTATGACGCATTTTGGAGCATGATGGAGTCTTTCCAGATGCCGCTCAGCAGCCTCTTGGAGCGTGTGTCGAAGCATCTGGGGTCTTTGGTGCCTCTTGGGGGCCTGGTGAGGGGCTCTTGGGGCCATCTTGGGGGAAAAGGCTCGAAGTGTCATCCGGATTCCCATTCTTGGGCTTCTCTTGGGGCTCTCTTTGGCCATATTTGGGCCCAGGGGCGAGTTTGGGCTTCTTTGGGGGGTCAAACTTTTCCAAGGCCCTCGTGAGCCGTTCTGGGGCGAGCTTGGGACGGTCTTGGGAGCCCTTTGGGCCGTCTTGGACGTTTTCAAGACGCGAAAGGCGAATGTGCTCAACATGCATGTTTCTCAAAAGGATATGTGACGATGTTCGTTTCTTGGGGCATTCTCGGCGGTCCTCCGCGAGTACTCTATGGTCGTCTTGGGCGCGTCTTGGGCGCGTCGTGGGCCGTTTCGAAGCCTGTTTGGATCACCGTGGGACTACTTTGGGCCCCCTTCACCTCTTCTTGGACGGTTTTGGCGCTTCGTTGATGCCTTCTTGGGCCGTCTTGGCGCTCTGGATAGGCTTTGGGGGCCCCGGGGATGCGTTCAGGAGCTCATACCGCGCCCGCCCCCCGGCCCCCCCGTCTTAGGGCCACCGCGAGGGTGCGAAGCCAGCTGCCGGGGGCGCGGGCGGCGCGAAAGCGCGAAGATAGTTGCCCCAGCCAAGCGGCGTGGTGGCCACACCGCGCGGTGAGTCAGAGGGCCCAGGCCCCGCGGGGCATCCCATGTGATGACGAGCTTTCACTCTTGGTGTCTCCGTGTGTGCCCCCTGTCTCTGGCCCATGTTGGAAGCTGCGTAGAGTCTTCTGCCGCAAGGGCGTACTTGATCGTTCGGGGCTGGGCCTCCAGAGGCCCCAAGTGAAATCCCGTATCCCTCTGGCCCTCCCCGCTTCTTGAAAACATGTGACCAGAGTTGTTGTTTTTCTGCCTCTCGGGGCCCTGACCCGGCCTCGAGACCGTCCAGAAACAGCTCGGGATGATAAACCGGTCCCGGGGAATGCGCGTGCAGACCGCGGAGGGTCCACGTCGTTAAAAATACACGACGTCGGGAGGTCTGAGGAGATTCGGGGTCACCGCACGATTTGGGGACTCGGGGCGTTCTCCGAGGACGTGTCGGGCGACCAGGGCCTCGAGGGTCCCAAAACCGTGCGGTGGCGGACCGCGTGGTAATGTCGTTGGGGGATCCGAGGTTATCACGCGGTCTGTCATCACACGTTGGGGGGACCCAGAATTGTCGCATCGCACGCAGCGATCGCCGGGCATCAGATACAGCCCTTCGCGTCGTGAGAAAATCATGGCGGAAAATGTTTGGCGATTTTCGGCTTCCGCCGGGCCAGGGACCATCAATAAACGATTCTGGATGAACAATTGGTCTTGAGGAAGGGGTCGAGACTTCGGGGACTCCGCGTTGTGCAAAATAACGACGTCGGAGGTCTGGGATCAGAGGGCTACTCCATGCTCAGGCTGAGAGCTTGGCGTCGCGTTTTTGTTCTGCAACGGGCGTTGTTGCCTTGCTACAGGCCCCAGGACCCTCTCGGATCGATCTGGCTCGAAAATGTCGCAGGAAGATGGGGTCCAAGCATCCGGTCGAGTTTTCTACAGTGTTGCGCTTCTGCATGACGTCGAATCTCGGAGACCAGAGGGCCATGCCTGGCCCAGGGCCGCTCCCTGCGCGTACGTAGCTGGCCCTGGACCGTTCCACGTGCTGAGGCTGAGTGTGAGTGAGAGGCCAGGCCTCTGGACCGCCCACGGCGCTCGTCGCTTGCGGCGCCGTCGGCGGGCCTCGGCGCGATTCGGCGGGCCGGGGCGTGCGCGTCGGCGGGCGAGGAGGGGAGAAGCGGGCGAGTCAGTGGAGGAGTGGATCACCGGCGGGGGCGCGTAGATAATAGTCGAGCGTCCCGCATCGCGGGGCGCGAAGCGCGAAGTTGGATGAGCTGGGAAGTCATACCAACACCGAACATCGGGTTGGACAAACGGGGGGGAATTGGGAAGGGGGGGGTGCGACATCTGCCGCGGGCAGCTGGTTTCGGTCGCGCCGCCGGGGGCTTTCCTGGATACATGGGCGCCTCTGGCGCTGAGAGGCGCCGGGTAAACCGGCTGCGTGAGTTGATTCGCTAAGAAACTGCTCTTTGCTACCTCCAGCCACGACCCCTTTCGGCCGACCCGAGAAGCCCTTGCCCCCCGTCTTCGCCTCTGGGGCCTTCTGGTGGGTTAGACGTCATGCCGTCGTCAGGGGCGACTTGAGTCGCCGTCTCCACTTGTCAGGCGCGTGCGACCTCCGTGCGCGATCGGATCTGATTTGGCCTGGGCGGGGGTCCTCGTCGCCACAGCTGGATTCGCCTCGAAATGCAACCCGGGAGAGGTCCGGTGAATGCGGCAGCGGGCTCGGAATTGTCTTGTGCTCTCCCAGGGAGGTCGATGATAGGTGATGAGGTTCGCGGATCGAGGTCTCCGAAAGGTTGTTCTGTTTGTTTGAGTCTCTGCAAGACCTCTCGTCGCCCCGGCCAGACTGCTTTCGGACAGGTCTGGGTGCAAGTGTCTGGGAGGGGGGTCGCCACGGCTGGAGCCGCCTCGAGATTCTGGCATCCCTTACCTCTCGTGGTCTTGAGAAACATCACGACAGGCGGCCTTTGCGCCCTCTCGATTTTCCTGAGACGGCCACAAATCGGCTCGGGATGAAAAGCCAGTTCTGGGGTTTGATCCAAAATGTGGTCCAGCTACAAGGGGGTGATGCAATAGATCTGGTACAATAGATCTGTGGGTTGCATTCGATTTGGGTCGTGCAATGCATTCCGGGGCGCAAATGTATTGTTGGATTTTCGCATGCAATACATTAGCTGCAATACAATGCAACGCAATCCTCTGGCGAAATACATTTGCAATACAATTGCCCCAAATCTATTGCACCACCCCCTTTCGGGTCACCCAAAGAGACCTTCACACAGACATCCGACGTCACGATACTTTCGCAACGTGGCTTCTCAGAGGTCTGGACCCTTTCCCCAGGATTGGCTTTTAATCCTGAGTCGTTTTCTGACGCTCCCGAGGCCTGGCGAGACTCCCTGGAGGCCGAGAATTGACAAGTACCCTCCGCCGTGCTCTCTCCATGACGAGAGGACGTCAGGGCAGAGGCCCACGTTGCCAACACAAGCGCACGACGTCGGAGGTCTGGGAGAGCGCACCTCCGGGCAGATCCGGGGCCCGAGACAGTGGCGTGCCGCCGCCCTCTCTGCCGCGCGCCGCCGCGAGGGGTGGCGGACGGGAAGCTCCACATCTGCGGGGGCCTGGACGACAACAGGCGGCGCGGGCCGCCTTCCCCGCCGCCCCCGTCGCCTCAGGGCTCGTTTCGATTCCTCCGATTCGACCCGATTCGATTTCGACGGCATCCGATTCCGATTTGATTCGACTTCAGATTCCGCTGTGGATTCCTATGCTGTATTGGAGGCATACTAGCCTGCCGATTTCCGCCGATTCGCCTTCTCCCGACTCGGCTGCCGATTTCCGCCGGTCCGATTCTTTTCGATCGCCGATCCGACTTATCGATTCGATTCTGGGCTCTCCTTGCGACAACATCAGGGGCCAGCGTGAGAAGGGGACAGGCTCAGGCGGGATGCATCGGCCGCCAGTCACCCAATGGTCGCCGATAGCACGCCAACAGCCCGCCCCGCCCAGGACCGTTCGGTCGGCGATGTATCGCCGATTCCAGGTCGATGTCTCCCCCCCTGAGCTGGCCCCCCCTATCGTTCCCCCTCACGGCATAGGGGGCAGCGTGACTGCCAGAAACCATTGTCGCGCGCAGCAGCTGCTTGAAGGCAAACTCTCGCTGCAGTCTGCAGGAGAGCAGACACATACGAGGGACGGAAGAAAACAAAACCGACTGCGCGGGCATGCGCGCGTAAGCTTCCCGCGCGAGGTCGTGCGTAAGCGCCCTCTTCTCCACGCGGTGAGCCGCACTGGCGGCCCGCGTAAGCCGCTGCGTATGATCGCTATGTCCTCTCGGGCAAGGCCCGGTTCTTTTCGTCACTCATTTGCGCATGCGTGTGCGGAACATGTCTTGCCAAGGTGGCCGATTGGCCGAGGATTTCTCTTTGTGTTGAAGTGTGTGTTTGAAGATCTGGACGGTGCGACTGTTCGCGGTGTCGCTTGGCAGCCCGCAAAACATGCGTACAGTTTCAAGTGTTCCTATAAGACGACCCTTCGGATGATACGGAGGTTCGCAGGGTGGTTTTGAAGTTGAACGGTTTGCACTCGCAAACGGCAGGACCAGCAAAGGACAACATCGGGACAACCGTCGGGACAACCACCGGGACAAGAACGGCCCTGCGCCGTGCCGGGTCGGTCCCGCTCGCGCGCGCCGCGTGGAGGCAGCCCTTGAGCTCCGTGGAGAGGCTGAACGTGGGCGGCGTCCTGGACGCGCATCAGGCGGCGACAGCGACGAGAACGACGTCGTCCTCCTCCTTGTCCATGCTGCTCCTCCTGCTCGTGCCCATCCTCCTCCTCCTCCTGCTCCTCCTTTCTTCCTCCTCCTCCGCCTACTCCTAGGGGACACTCGCTCCTCCTCCTCCACTTCCTCCTCCTCCTCCTCCTCCTCCTCCTCCTCCTCCTCCTCCTCCTCTTGCTCATTCTCTTGCACGACGAGCGCGGTCGTTCTCTCTGAGGGTGGCGTACTCTTCCTACTCGTCATGTTCTCTCCTTCCAGCTCTTTTCTCCTCTGACTACGTACTGATCCTCTTGCCCATGCTGCTCCATGCCTGAGGCTACCGACTCCAACAGGTGTAGGCTTACAATTAGCGGCGCCCATTTGGAATTGGAAAAGTGTTTCTTGTGGCTTTCTTGGGACTATCCTTTGGAATTGTCGGGAAGTGTCGGCGCCATTTTAGGTCATCTCGGAGCTAACGAGATGCCTCCGAGGCACATCGGAAACTGGAGAGGCGAGAACGCCAACATCATCAACCTCCTGTAGATTCTCAATGGTTTTGACGTCGGGGGCATCATTGCGAGGCTCCGTGGCTACCTCGAGTTAGGTCTTCTTGGGGCAGTGACTGCTGGAGGACATTAAAGCTATTATTTAACGAGGGCTCTTTTGCGCAATCGTGGAGGCAGTCGTGGGCGACCTGGGACAATCTTGGAGTGATCTTGGGCCCGACTGGCCTGCCGCTCGCCGGGCTTGCAAAGGTGGCTACGGATGACCCCATCCTCGGTGGTCGTTTGGGCCCTGTGGCACTGAGCACTGTACAGACGCAAGGACTGCTTTCTTCGGGCGCATCTACTCGTCACTCCGACACCATTGTGGCACACTCGCGGGCACGCAAGCGATTGCCACACCTACGTTGAGGCGGTAACCTGAGGGCGCCGTGGAATTACGGATCTATCCCTGATCAGGGGCAAGCGCAGTCAAGCGGGCATTTGAAGTCCGAGGTTCACTCGAACCTAAGAGCGCGCGAAGCGCGCGTGGTTCTGGGGCGTATTTGTTTACATCACATACCAGCCGCCGAACGATGAGGTGTGACAATACACGGAGAGAGAGCAGGACACTTCCAGGACATAGTCTGGGGAGAGAGGAGAGTAGTTTTGACACCGAGAGTTTGTTGAGCAACTGTGGCGGCGGAGGGGGGATGGCCCCCCCCTCCCGCGCCCGAGGTGGACGTGACGTTCCTGATCGACGGCGCGCAGGCCCCGCGCGCCCGCTGCCGTTGCGGGTGTCCCGCCCCGTGGGGATCCCCCCCTTTGCCGTTGCAGGCGCCGTGCCGCCCACCTGCTGCGGCAGGTTCGTGCCGCGTCGAGGTGCAGCCCCGAACAGTGCGTTGTTGCAGGTGGCAATTGTGCGGTGTACGCGATGTGGTGAAAGTCGCGTGGGGTAAGTTACGTGCTGTGAGCGATGGAGGTAAGACAAAACAAAACGGTGCGGTGCACGCTACGTGGAGCAAGTTGAGTCGTGTAAGTGAGGTGGTGTGCATTGGAAGTGAAATCTATGGGGTGCACGCTATGAGATGTAAGCGGCCTGCGGGCCGCTCTGGCCGCCATGTAGCTGCCGTCGCCGCTCTGTCGCCTGGGGCCTGCGGGCCGCTAGGGCCGCCATATGGCCGCCATCCCCACCTCGTGACCGCCCGTGCATGGGCCGGCGGGCCGGCTCGTCGCCGCCCGCTTTGCAGCGCCATTGCTTCGCACTGCTTAGAACTGTTTATGTTTGATGGTGCGAGGCTCGCATTTGGGACTGTGCGCCGGTCCCTCGGGCTTGTGGCCGCCCGTCGCCGCCGTCCGTCGCCGCACCCTTCTGGTCACAATTTTGATTGTGCGAGGCTCGCACTGTGCATTGTTCTGCATTGCGTCACATTGCTCTGTATTGCTTTGCTTTGCTTTGTCTTGCTGTGCAGTGCATGTGTGTTGCTTTGCAAGCTCACACCCCACATATTGCACCGCATAAGTGGTACCGCATAGCTTGCACCACATAGCTCACACCACGCTCATCCGATGATTACGTTCATTCCTGCCACATAGATTGCATCACACACCTTACACCACACAGCTCACACCACATGGATTGCATCACATAGCAATCAGCACATAGCTTGCACCACATACCTTGTACCACGTATATTGTAACACATAGCATATAGCTTCCACCACATCGCTGGCACCACATATATTCCTTGATAGCTATTGCGCCACGCAGCTCACGCCATATAGAATGCTCCTCATAGATTGCACAACATGGCTTGCACCACATATATTGTACAACATATGTTGCACCACATTCTCTACACCACGAAGCTCACACCACATGTATCATACTACATTGATTGATCATATAATTTGCACCGCGTAATTTACGCCAAATAGATTGTACCACATATCTTACACCACACAGCTCACACTACATATATTGTACTGCATGGGCCGCACCACTACAGCTCGCTCTACATAGAACGCACTGCATGCATTGCACCACTTACATTGCAGTGATCACAATACATAGCTCACACGATAGATCGCACCACATAGATTGCACCACGTAGCTTACACAGCATAGCTCACACCACAGATGAGTACGCCAATTCCCGCCACATGTGTTGCATCACTTACTTTAAATTACATAGCTCATACCATATATGTTGCATCGCATAGCATTGACCACTGAGCTTACGCCACACAGCTCGCACCATGAAGATCTTCTCTCTACAAGAAAATTTGGATCTACCCCCCCTCCTCCCACCCACCCTTCACCTTTGTTAAACAATACTATGCGCGCACACTCGTTGATCACACCTCATCAGTTGCCAGTGGCCCCTCGCAGATAAATATGACCAAAGGCACGCGCGCGTCGCCGCGCGCATGCCGAAGTCCTTCACACACGTTAGGTGTTGTAAGGATTGAATAACCGAGTATCCAAAAAACATGCGAACCCATTGGTTTTCAAGAACAAGCGTGCGTTCGCGTTTTTGCGAATTCTTCAGAAAACCACAGGTTGCTCAACATTGTCGCAAAATGCCACCGAACGGGTTTCGCTCGATCGCATGTCGAAATCGTTCGACTGCCCTTTCGCGCGAGCTGTCGCAAGAGTCGTTTGCAACAGGTAAGACGAAGTGCACTCGCGCGCGTCGTCTCGCGAGCATGCCGAAGTCCTTCAAACATCTAGGGTTTCGTAAGGGTGTCAATATTGAGCGTCCCGGAACAACAGTGTTCGAACAAGCTTGCCTTCGCGCTCTTGCGAATCCTTAAGAAAACCGTGGGTTGTTCAACACTTCCACGGCATTCTGCCACACGGGCTTCTCGCGCCGCATGCTGAAATCATTCGAACGGCCTTGCGCGCGTGCAGGGGGGGGGCACGATCCCTGCCAAATAATACCATGCGGGCCACTCGTGCGTCGGCCGCGCGCGCATGCCGAACTCCTTCCGAAACCTCCATCAACGACGCGAGGACGCAGTCATCGCCGTCGGCGTGATCAGCATCGGCGCCGTCACTGGCCGTGCCGTCGTCGGTGCCAGCATCGCCACCAGCACTTCTACTAGCATCATCGTGTCTACCGCTGTCGACGTTGCCATGATACCGCGCCCGCCCACGTCGCCGATTCGCACGGAATGGCCCGCTGGGGTGTGCCCAGCGGTCAGTGCCATCGCGGCCGCGGCGGCCGCGCCAAACTAGTTGGCCGCTGCGCGTGCGTGCATGTGCGGGCTAGCGCGGCCGTAGATAGGCACCAGCCAGCACCAAGCATTCATCGCAATCGCTTCCGCATGGGTTTTGCGAACCCTGTTGCGGGTGGGTGGTTGGGATGATTGCACGAACAGTGGAGTTGACATTCTCAAGTTGAGCAAGGGCGAAATCCACCACATAGTTTCCACCACATGGCTTGCTCCGCGCAGCTTGCACCACATGTGTTGCAGCATCTAGTATGCCAGAACGCAGTGGTGTGGGCCAACGTTGGCTGACAGTTCGCAGCGTATGTGGTACCAGCTACAAAGTGCAAGCACTGTGGTAGACGCTCAGTCGTGCGCTCAGTCGTGCAATCTCAGAGCACGGAGCGCCCACGAGGGGCCCACGAGGCGGCACGGACCGCAACGTGGCGAAACGTCGGGCAACCCACCCAACGCACGAGGCGCCAGCGCGGCGTCAACGGTCAACCCCAGCGCAGCAGCGATGCGGCGACGGGTGGCAACGGGCGGCAACGTAGCGAATCCTCGGCACACCCACGCAGCGGACGGGGCGGCAACGGCGCGGCAACGGGCGGTAACGTGGCGAACCTTCCGCACACCCACAGCGCGCGAGGCGGCAAAGACGAGGCAACGAGGCGGCAATTGGCGACAGCGTGGCGCATCTTCGGCATACCCTGCAGGTGGCTATGGGCGGATGCCCATCCAATCCCTCAGCAACCCAAGCAAAGACCTTCAAGTGTAAGCATCTATTGGGGCATTCAACGAAGCAATAACCAGAAAGCGAACGAGGCGGCAACGGGCGGCAACTTGACGAATTTTCGGCGTGCCCACAGCGCACGGGGCGCCAACGAGGCGTCAACGTGCGGCAACGTGGTGAATCTCCTGCATACCCACACGGCAACGGGCGGCAGCGAGGCGTCAACGGGCGGCAACGGGCGGCAGCGTGGCGAATCTTCGGCATACCCCCACAGGCGGCAATGGGCGGCAACGAGGCGAAACTGTATAATACACCGCCAACGGATCACAGTACACTATAGCCAATCATGGTGCCTTTTACCCTAGTGAGCGGGAGAATTTCCAGAGTTTCCGCCATCACGTATTGGTGAAATGTTGGCGTGTTCAGTTTTTGTCTTTGCATTTGGGCTCGAGATCCCTCGAGCTTCTGTCCAAGTAATCTCAACGGGTCCTGGAGATAGAGGGCGGGCACGGCTGGCTGAGTCCCATGAGCTGGGACTGCCCGAAACAGCCGCATGAGCCACAAGATCATAGCCCCAGGCTGTGGTGAGAATTAGGGCCAGTGAGGGATGAGGCTGATCACCTAGAAGTGCAAACGGCGTCCACGGGGAACTCGGAGTAACCTACCATCAATTCTCTGGAGTTGGAAGCACTCATGTGTAACCATTCGGACATAGTCGCATCAGTCGCCCAACCTTTACACACGCTGCACGAATCCCCACTTTCGGTCAGGGTGTGCGCGGACTCGAAGCGTGCATCCGCAATAGGAGGAGGCGGCGGCTTGGGACCAATGCCCTCTGGACTAACAGGATCCTGAGCCTGGGTGGCACGGATCGACTATGCCAGCACGCAGCAGCCTCTTGCGGACGAGTTTTGCATTGGCTTCCACGGAGGCAAGATTGTGGCGATCTGATTGTGGAAACTTGGCCCGACTAGCTGGCTCGCCAGCGAGAGCGTCGACCATTATACTACCCTGGAGTCCAGGGCAGCATAATGGTGGACGCTCTAATGGAGTCCAGGGCAGCATAATGGTCGAGAGCGTCGACCATTATGCTGCCCTGAAGTCCAGGCAGCATAATGGTAGCATAATGAAGTCAGGGCTACTCTTCCAGGGCCTGGACGAGCCATGAAGGCCACTGCCAATGCACCACCTCCTCTGCTTGACGGTGCGACGGAAGCCAAACCAGTGAACTACTGGCTGGATCTCTCTGCTGAAAAGGGGAGGGGAAGCGGAGAGTCGGGAAAGGGGCGGGAGTGGGAGTGGGAGTGGGAGTGGGCATGCAGACGGATGGAGGTCCGTAGCGGGAGGAGACAGGCAGGAGGAGGGAGGAGCGAGACACCGAAGACAAGGACGAGAGTTTGGATGATGTAGCGAGCAGGAACGAGAGGCCAAAAAATCAAGAGGATGCGGTAAATCAGCGTATGAAGCGAACCCGCCCGAAAGTCACGCACAGCTAGCGCAGGCCAACGTCAACCCAACGAGGCATTCTAAAACAGATCCCCTGTCGTGAGCGCGCCTTGGCCAGCACTAGAGCCCAAGCCCGCGAGAAGCCCGCGCGCGTGATTCTAGCGTCCAGGTCTCCAGACCCGCAGGCAGCCCGTGGTTCCAGGGGTCGGGAGCCTAGGTCAGCCCCACGGGCGCCAAGATGGTCGCGCACCGCGGCCTCGGCCAGAGAGTTGCCTTTCGCCAAGGTGGCCTCGCGAGGACGCGAAGATGGCCGCGCCTCGCGGGGCGGGAGCCCGTTCGGGACCCTGGGGAGGCCTGTCTGCTCGAGAGACTTCCGAGATGGCCCAGGAGGGCGCCCAGAGACCGCCCAGACGGCCCAGAGCGGCCCCAGGACGCTCCGAGACATTTCCTGGGCCAAGAGACCACCGGGTGCTTCGAGGTAACCTCCCACAGGCCCACCCCAATTAGGCCCCCGGCATCCAGAACATGGTTTCCCGCTGAAGTTCAGGGCGGTTCTCTTTTGATGCATTCCCGAGCTGGCAGTCACCAGTGGCAGCCGCCGCGTCGCTCCTACGAGCACAGGCCGTTACGTTCAGATTCGCACGTTGACGTCGTGGGCGTGTTTTTCTCATGTTGCTCGAAGAACTTTCAATCATTTCTCGGGGGTCCGCCCGGAATTCTTCGCTCGGCGTTGGGCCCATTGGCGGCGCCTCGGACGCCGCCCCTGGCGCGCAGATCGCGCCGGGGAGGGATCCCAGCGCCGATCCAAGAAACCTGCGCGGACTGCCAAGACGTGGTGTTTACGCAGTTTGTTGTTTCTCTGCTCCCCCGCGCAATAATGTCATGGCTCGAGCTAAACTGTGTTTTGGCGATTTCGTGGACCCTTTCCGCTTTGATCTCGTGTCGCAGCAGAGGCATAACGAAGACAGAACGAAGGACAACGAAGACAGCGAAAACGAACACGGTTTAGCTCGAGCCTGTGGCAGTGCCAGAATTCAAGGTCCATCTTCCCCAATATTGCATGGTGCGCCAGCCCCTGGTATTGACAGGTTCCTGCCGAAGTCCCAGATGATCTTGAGGGCAGCATGTGGGAGGCGACCGCCTGCCTGTTGTCTCGTTGCCATCACGCTCCGCTTCCCGCATTGTTCTGGGTCGACGCCTCGTCTCCGTCACGAAGCGTCGAAGGGTCGTTTCCTTGGCATCGCTCGGACGTGTGCAGCTTTTCTCGGCGAGGGCCATCGAAGTGCATCCTGCATCATCGAGCGAAAGACACGCACGAAACCGAACAATACACGGGGAGAACGGACATCCGAGCGATGGCAGATTACCAAAAATGAGATTCATCGTTGGAAGCACGCGGGCGTTGCTCCCGTTCCTGGCAGAAACCAGTTTAACATCGCTAAAGTATGGTGCAATTCTGCGGAGGAGTCGACGTTTGCCGAGAGATGTTGAATACTCGAATTTCTATTTTTTGTCCACCATCCAGTTCCGACGTCATGATTTGTTCCACGTCGTGAGCCCCCAGTGTTCTCGACAGCTCCCCGGAGAGAGAGAGAGAGAGAGAGAAACCTTTGGGGACCGATCGTTAGCGACAACATCCGCTTGCCATTGTCATTGAAGGCATTAGAGGCCTGACCCCCCTCCAAACCAGCACCCAAGCCTCTCCCTGGGTGTGCGGTTCATGCTACATTCGAGAAGGGATCCAGCCGTGGCGACAAGAAGCTTCATGGAGGTCCAGGATCACCCCTCTCGCCCCCCTCAAAATGCATACGTGGAGGATGGAGGGGGTTATGGCGGGAGCAGTGTTGGTCGACTGGTGTGGTCTTTGACAAGAGGCCTGGAGGAGGGTTGTGCCCCCCCCTTCACGGTGAAGCTTGGACAAGGATCCTCGAACCTCGGGGCGTTGGCTCTTCCGCCCGACGCAAGCCCCTTTCCTTGCCCTCGAAACCCCTCCGTCGTCGTCGTCGTCGTCGTCGTCGTCGTCGTCGTCGTCGTCGTCAAGGTCGTCGTGGTCGTCGTCGTGGTCGCCGCCGTCGCCGTCGAGGGTCGTCACCGTCGTCGTCGTCGTCGTCGTCGTCGTCGTCGTCGTCGTCGTCGTCGTCGTCGTAGATGGTCCTCACAGCCGCCGCGCCGGTGGCGGGCAAGGGGGACGCTCTGGCCAGGGCGGTGGCCACTTGCCGAGGATCCAGGTTCGGGGGGCGGGGACGCATCGGCGGCGCGCACACGGGGGGCTCGGGGCGATCGGGGGCAACGTCGGCGGGGAGTGTGCTCCGATGGGGGCGCCCCCTCCTCGCCGAGGGGGGCCTGGCGGCCCACCCCGCCCAGGAGCCTGGCGGACTCGCTCTCTCGGAGCCCATCGCCGACCTATCGGAGATGTATCGCCGATTCGAAGGATTGCAATCCTTGGTTTTTTTTTTTTTGCAATCCTTGGTTTTTTTGCAATCCTTCGTTTTTTTGCAATCCTTGTTTTTCTTTTGCAATCCTTCGATTTTTTTGCAATCCTTCGGTCGGTGTTCCCCCCCGCTGAGCCGGTCCCATCCTGCGTCGACCTGGCATCGCTCGGACGTGTGCATTTTTTCACGGCGAGTACCATGGAGGACGATCCTGGACCATCGAGCAAAAAAAACACGCACGAAACCGACAAATGCAAGGGAAATGGACGTCCGAGCGATGGCGAGTCGAGGGTAGCGGATCAGGAATCATTGGAAAACGAATCCAGGGTTTGGAAGCCGCCGGAACTCCAATCGTGGATTGGCCATCGATCTCACCGCCGCCTTCATCAGACAAGGAATTCGAGGGTCTGAAGCCTAGTGGGAACAGTCCTCAACCAAATCGTAACGTTGCCCCTCACGAGGGGGGCTTGCCTTCCAAGACGGGCGGGGCGCCTCAGGCTCAAAAGGATCAAGGTCGAGGTTCGAGGGTTGAGCGTTTCTGAGCCTCCAGGAGGTAGTCACGGCCTCGGAATTCTGGCCAGAATGCATCCCTGGAGAGAGACCCAGCGGGCCGAATCTTGACCCTCGCCCAGAGCCCTTCGCGTCGTAGACAACCTGACGAGGCAGAGGGGGGGGGGTTCTGAGAAGCTCCTTAGAAGGCGGGGGCCTTGGGCTTTCTGAGAGTGCTCCGTGGAAGCCGGGACGGCTTCTAAGGACCCCCCATTGGTCTTCTCAGAAGTTCCCGCGCCTTCTCGGGAGGCCGCCCCCCCTCGTGCCACCCCATGACTCGCGCGCCGCCACCAGATGCAGTCGGCGGGTCCAAGAGCGTGAAAGCGGGTTGCGCTCAAGCAGATTGGCTTGCCTTGTGGGAGCCTGGGCAAGGCCTGAATCCTCGGGTAAAGTCGGACGAAGCAGTGGACAGGCAGGCGTTCACCATTATCGGGGAGCAGAGGAGCCCAGACATCCTGCTGATTCACGTTTGCGATCCTGGCGTTGTTCTTGAACTGTCGGCCCTGGGGGAGCCTTTTGGGGGGCCACTGGGACAATCAAAAACGGATCCGTGACGAAAGAAACTTACCCCTGGAAGGGGTCGAGAGCTCGGGGGCCGCTGATTCACAACACTACATCCTCGAGCGTCTGGGAAGCCGGCACCAACACGGCCGCGAAGAGCTGGGGAGGGTCCTGGTTGGTGTGGCCTCCTCCCATTTCTTGACGTGGTTGCGGAGCTCCTCGCTGTTGCGTCGTTTACCCTGGTGACGTCGCTTACCTTCAGGTCGAACCATCGGGCGAGTGTGCATCCCAGGCCCTCCCGAGACGTGACGAACCGGCGACGGGAGGTTTTCGCCAATGTTCAACCTCTGGAGGCCACTACGGGACCCTGGCGTCGTCGAAAAATAGCTCAGGATGAAATGTTGGCCTGGTCGAGACTTCGAGGGGTCCGCGCTGCGAGCAATGCCCACCGGTCGGAAGAAGTGAACAGAAGCACAAAGTAGGAGGGCGTTGTAGGTGTATTGGGTATCCGGCCGCCCCCTGAAGACGAAGCAAGAGGGAGAATGTGTCGATCCTTGACATCGGAAGGTGACGGAAGTGGACGGGGACCTGGGAGTCAAACAAGTATCTACTTTCAACGACCGATGGGCAACGACGTGGGTTCGGCTTGCACTCACCTGCCTGTCGTCAAGAGGCTGGGCCGCAGAGGCCATAGCCTCTCGTGCGGCCTTCCTCGTACCCGGCGACCCCGTCGTTCACTATTTCCGACGTTCTTGGTCCCAGGATGGGCCATTGCCAGTGGCAGTGGCCACGAATCCAGATCTCGGGCCCTGGAAGAGGGAGGGCCCGAGGGGGTGGGGGCCTGAAGGGATGGGAGGATCGGCGGGGGGCAGCCTCGAAGCAGCCTGCGTCGCCCCGCCCCCCTTCTTGGAAGGCCAGCCCCCGCCCCCCCCACGACGAGGAGGAGAAGAAGGAGCAACAGCAGCAGGAGGAGGAGCAGGAGCAGGAGGAGGAGGAGGAGCAGGAGGAGGAGGAGCAGGAGGAGGAGGCGGAGGAGGAGGAGGAACGCAACAAGCTTGGCCCTAAAGTTTGCCCAACGTCAAGAGGCGGAGGTGGAGGTGGGGGGGACGTAGGAGTAGGAGGAGTAGGATGAGGAGGGGTCGCGAGGAGCGAGGAGCCCCCTGGCGTTCGCCGTCGGTCAGCCCTCGCCCCTCGAACCCGCGACCCTCCGCGAGCGCGGCCACCGCTCGGCCCAGGGTGTGCCCGCCGCGCGCCCCCGACGACGAGGACGACGAGGACGACGACGACGACGACGACGACGACGACGACGACGACGACGACGACGACGACGACGACCACGACGACGACGACGGGAGGGAGTCGAGAGCACGGGAGGGGGCTCGCATCGGGCGGAGGGGCCAACGATTTGAAGTTCGAGGCTCGAGGACCTGTCTCAAAGCTTCATCCTTAAGGGGGGGTCAAAGCCCTGACTTCAGACCCCCTCCCGTTGAGAGGCCCCTCTGGACCTCTTGCCAATGACTCCCACCAGCCCACCAATGCAACTCCAGCCAGGCCCCGAAGAAGGAGACGGCGGCTGCGGCAGCGACGATGTACGACGACGGTGTCTACAAGTAAGACGGACCTCTCAGTGGATCTCATCAGGTCGTTGAGCCTGCTGGTGGTCGAGGCTCGCCGTAGCCAGAAAAGTCCCTTTGCTCGTTGTTCAGCGCTCCTTCTGGCAACACGATGGCTGCACGACGGCGGCGACGGCGGGGCGGCGCCAGCCCACTGTGCGCGCCGACCTGCAGCCGCCAGCGCGCGCTGGAGGAGCAGCAACAAAAAGCTGCCCGCCCTCCGCGCCGACGGCCCCGCGCCCCCCCGCCCCCTCTTTGGTGCCCGCTGGAGGCCGTCCCCGACATGTCCGAGAGGCGCCTCGTGGTTCGCGCGCTCGCCGGGGTCGGGGGTTCGATTCGAAGAATTCGGCGATCAGTCATTCCTAACGCTCCCCTCGCCCTTTTCTGCTGCTGTGCCCACTCTCCTGTAACATGGTGTTGGCAGGGCTGAGGACAGATGCGGAGGGACTGTCTCCGCAGCTGGATCGGGGGCTCGATTCGAAGAATTTGGCGATCGTTGCGAAGAAATCGCGACGCAAGGTTTTGTCGTCGCCCTTTTCGGCTGGGCCAGTATCGGGCCCTGGGACCGGCAACAAAAACGACCCGGGATGAAAACCCGGTCCCAGGAAAGGGGGTCCGCGTTCTTGGCATCTCGGGCGTGTGCACCTTCCCTTCGGCGAGGACCACCGAGGAGCACCTTGGACCATCTCCTTTGTTTGGGGGGGGGGGGGGGGCAAAAAACAACACGATGCCGAGCAATGGACGGGGCATGGGCGCCCGAGCGACGACGAGATAACTGCTCTTCGCGGGGCCCCTCGTGGGCCCAGGAGCGGTGTTCTGCACGGCCTCCCGGGGCCAGGGCGGCGCACACGCCGCTCTTGGTCCCAGGAGAAGGCTTGGCCGGCGGCAGCGACCACGAATGAGGATCGGCGAGCGAGGGGGGGGGGAAGCGGGAAGGGGCGGGCCTTCCCTCGAAGAAAAAAGGCAGCATGAACATAAACTGTTGGCGCTCCGCGCGGATTGCTTGGGTCCGCGCTAGGCCCCCCTTGGCGGCGCCTCTGGCGCCGCCCCTGGCGCGGTCAGCGCGCCAGGGAGGGGGGGTCCAACGCAGACCCAAGAAATCCGCGCGGAGCGCCAGAAGTTCATGTTTACGGTGTTTTTCTTCTTCGAAAGAAGGGCGGGTCTTCTCAGAAGGCTCGGAAATGAGAGGTTGTCTGGGCCTTCCCTTAAGACACAGACGACTTCTCAGAAGGCCAGAGGGTCTCCGAGAAGCCCCGCCGCCTTCTGAGAAGGCCCTCCCCTTCTCACTTCCTCCCCTCGCTCGCGGCCAAAGAGATTCCGGGCGCTGGAAGAGGAGGGCCTGGGGGGCGGGAGCCAGACCTCCCAGAGGCATTTTGATTGCACTACTTGTTTGAACCAGCTGCGCGCTTCGTGTACAGGAACCGTATGTTATGTAGAACACGATTAACGGAGCCCGCAGAGCGGGAGACACGGCTGGCCCCCGGGGGGAAGCTTCCACGCAGATTCTGCAATCAGTGGGTGTTAGGGTACTGCCTCGACGAGGATCGGTACCAATCGTTGGGGCCGGTTTGGCGTCCCGTGGGGAGTTAATGTTCGAAGCGCTCTCCGAGGCAGATTGTGGAGGAGGTCTCGAGCGAAACGGTCACTATTGTGACTCAACCGTGTCGGAGCCCCCTCCGAGTCTCAATAATGACCGTTTCCATTCTTGAAATCCGAAGTTCTCTCCGCAGCTGAGTCGTCGAGGGCGTCCCGATTCTGATATTCAAAGTCCCCTCCGAAGCCAATCTGTCGAGGATACCCCAAGCGAAACGGCCGTTCGAGGCCATCGGAGCGCGTCTCACTCATGCTTGGACGTGTCCCACGAGCCCGGTAGCGCAGATCACATGCAGTTTCATGTGCCAGAAGAACAAACAAGGTGCGGCTGCAAGCTCCTCGTAGCATGCCTCATGCATGCTTCTCCCTCGTCTCCATCATCCTCCATCTAACCACCTACCCGTGGATATTACATCACGGCCAGGGCCCGCAGGGAGGCCGCCGAATCCTCCATCTCATGATCTAATCACCCTCTAGCTACAGCTCGGCGAGAGCCCGCAGGGGCCCGCAGAATTGAATCGCTTCGCTCATTCCGCCGACCCATTTCGCGCCACTGTTGCTACATGGTGGTGTGCCCTTGGCGGGCGAGAAGGAGGATAAGAAAGAGCGCTTTCTGTGGTCACTTGTAGGGTCACCCCCAGGTTCGGAGCCCAGGGGGGGTGGGGGTGACGACGACGGCGTCGTGCTCGTCGTCGTCGTCGTCGTCGCCGGCATCGGCATCGGCATCGGCGTCGTGCTCGGCGTCGCTGTCGGCGTCATTGCGTCGCCGTTGTCGTCGCCGGCGTCAGCATGGCGTCGTCTCCGTTGTGGACGTCGGCGTCTGCGTCGGTGTCGGCGTCGGAGCCGGCGACGGCGTCGACGTCGTTGTCGGTGTCGGCGCCGGGCGTCGTCGTCGTCGTTGTCGTTGGCATCGGCGTGGGCGTCGGCTTCGTCACTGGCGTCGGCGTCGTTGTCGGCATCGAGCTCGGCGTCGTGCTCGGCGTGGTCGGCGTCAACGTCGCCGTTGGCGTCGGCGCCAGCGTCGGCGTCGGCGTCATCGGCGTCGTGCTCGGCGTCGTGCTCGGCGTCGTCGTCGGCGTCGTCGTCGGCGTCGGCGTCGGCGTCGGCGTCGGCGCAGGCGCCTGCGTCGGCGTCGGCGTCGTTGTCGGCGTCGTTTTCGGCGTCGACGTCGTCGTCTTCGGCGCTTTTGGCATCAGCGTCGTCGTCGACGTGCGTCGTTCTCGGCGGCGTCGCCGTTGGCGTCGGCGTCGTTGTCGGCGTCGTGATCGGCGTCGTGCTCGGCGTCGTGCTCGGCGCCGTCGTCATCGGCGTCAGCGTCGGCGTCGTCGCTGGCGTCGGCATCGTGCTCGGCCTCGTTGTCGTCGTCGGTGTCGGCGTCGGCGCCGACGTCGGCGTTGTTGTCTTCACTGTCGGCGCCGCCGCTATCGTGTCGTCGTCGTCGACGTTGTCGTCGCCTACGCCATCGTCGTTGTCGTCGTCGTCGTCGTCTTCGCCTTCCCCCTCCCGGGGCTCAAACCCGGAGGGCGGACCCGCCCCGTTCCGAGGAGGGGGTTCTCCCATCCCCTCGCCCCCTCCGGACTCGAACCCGGAGGGGGTACCCCCCCCCCATGGGGGGCGGGGGGCATTTTTTCCAAGCAAGCGCCCGCGAAACACGTTTTCTCATAGGATAGGGGATTCGATGGGGGAGGATGGGGAGGAGATGGAGGAGGAGGAGGAGGACCAGTGTAAACCCAAGAGTCATCAACGATGTTGGAATAAACCCTCCCTCCAAGCTCCCTCTTCATACTCCCCTACAACGGTTCATATCCATTGAAGGAACTGTTTCTTCGGAAGAGAACAGGGTGAAGACCCTGAAGTATGCCAAAACATTGTTCTCGGGATTCCAACGCCACGGATAAACCTGACTGTTGCGTCTTGACAATCCTGAATCGTGCTAGAACACCATTCCTGGGATTTCAACACATCGAATCCACATAACTGTTGCACCCGCATGATCCCGAATCCTTTCAAAACGCAATTCTGACACGTTGATGATGTGAATCCGTGAAACTCTTACAACTGTTTTCAACGAATGTGCGCCGTGCTAAGGCGAGAGCCACATTTTGAAAACGGCCCGCCCTCAATCCGTGAACAGACAGAAGAAGCCGCGCCTAGACGGCGCATCGGCACACATTGGCATGGAAAACGAAGGCCAGAAAATGTGCAGAAAATTATGCAGAATGCACGTGCGCCGGGTCACAGCCACTGAAAATAGACCAGTGCTGGGCGGCGGGTACCACTACACTCGCACAACGCACACTGAACATGCAAAAGGGCAGGGGGAGAGGGAGCGCGGAGGGGGGAAGACAGGGAGACTGGAGAACGATATTACATACAATAATCGTCAACGGCTTTGTGCCATTGTGCTGGAGAGCCTGTCAGAAGGTCGTGCAGATGGTCAGAGTTGCCCCCTGTTGCCTCAAGAGCCCGGGCGTGCATATATGTAGCCCATTGCAGGCGCGGGCGCCCACGGGAGCGCGGACTGTTCCATCGTCTTGGCTGGCAACTGCCTCTCTCGAACAGCATTGCTCTCGGCAGGCTTCCCGGGGAGTCCCAGGCCAATTTACCATATAATTGGAGCTGTCGTCTCAATAATTCCGCTGATAAACGCTTGGCGTTGGCAGATGCTCTGACTTCGAAGTTGCTGACGCGAGAGAAATATGCAGGTTGGATTTTGCATATCCTTCGAAGGCATTTCGCTTGGAAGCTGTCGAGGCGTTCTCTGTCAGCTTTCAATATCATACAAGATTCCAAACCATATAGCAGCTTTGAAAATACACAAGCATCGAGAACATGGATTTTGTGTTGTCTGGTCATGTTGGCGTGGCTCCACACAGCGCTGATCTTTTCGAATGCTCCCTTTGCTTCGCCAAGCCTGCGCGTGAGTTCTGCTCGCGGTTTCCCGTTGACGTCCAAGAGCCCGCCAAGGTACACAGCTTCTTCTTTGCACGTGATCAGGTCCCTTTTGGCCCAGCAACGTTTGCATTCGATCGCACTCGTAATAATTTAGTTTTGGATACGTTCAGCTCGAGACCAAAAGACTTGGCGATATCCACCAGCACGTCCAGATGATGTTGAAGAGCGTCCGGTTTCGTAGCCACCAGCATCGTGTCGTCTGCGTACAGCACGTCGTCCGTGACTACATACGGCTTGGAGTGGCTGTTTGGGTTGGTGGTGCGTCTTATGTCCACTGCCTCCATGATAACTGACATACAAGTATGGGGACAATGGGCAACCCTGAGCTATACCCGCCGCTTGAGGCCTTGGGAACGTGGTGTCCCATCCTTGACGACAAACTCTCTCGCCGTGTAGATTGCCCGCACCATATCTACCATGGCCGGCGGCACTCAATCCGTGAAGCTCTTGCAAATATTTAATACGAATGTGCGCCGTGCTAAGGCGAGAGTCAATTTTCAAAAATGAACCGCCCTCATTCCGTGAATCTCTTGCGAATGTTTAAAACGAATGTGCGCCGCATTAAGGTCAGAGCCTCATCTTGGAAACCACCCGCACGTAATCCGTGAAACTGTAAAGGTTTTAAAGAGCGTGCTCTACCGCTGCTGGCGGAAAATTTTGGGGGGGTCACTACCGGTTCGAACCCCCCCCCCTCCGGAAAACCAGGGGGGGTCACTACCGGTTCGAACTCCTCCCCCCCCCCAGTCCATCATGAAAAGGGTGGGGGTCACGACCGGTTCGAACCCCCCTTCCTCGAAAACCCGGAGGGGTCATTACCGGTTCGAACCCCCCCCCCCACTCTCGAAAACCGGGGGGGAGGTGCGGACAGTGGTGCGGACGGTGGTGGTGGGGATAGTGGTGAAGGGACAGCGGGACAGTGGTGGGGACAGTGGGACAGTAGTGGGGACGGTAGTGGTGGGTACAGTGGTGAAGGCGGTGGTGAGGACAGTGGTGGGACAGTAGCACAGTGGGGAAAGTGGCGGGGACAGTGGGGACAGTGGGACAGTGATGGAGACAGTGGGGACGCTGGGACAGCACAGTGGGACAGCGGCGGGGACAGTGGGACAGTAGTGGGTACAGTGGGGACTGTGGGACAGTGGTGGGGACCGTGGGGGAAGTGGGGAGAGTGGGACCGTGGTGGGACAATTGTGGGGAGAGTGGGGACATTGACACACTGGTGGGGGCACTAGTGGGGACAGCGGGGACAATGGTGGGAACAGTGGGGACAGTGGTACAGTGGTGGGGACGGTGGTGGTGGGGACAGTGGTGTGGGGACAGTGGGAATGTGGTGGAAACAGTGGGACAGTGGAGGGTACAGTGTTGGTGGGGACAGTTGTGAGGGCGGTGGCGAGGACGGCGGTGGGACAATGGGACAGAGGTACAGTGGGGACAGAGGTGGGGACAGTGGGGACAGTGGTGGGAACATTGGGACAGCTCAGTGGGACAGCGGAGGAGACAGTGGGACAGCGGGGACAGTGGGGACAGTCGGGCAGTGGTTGGGGCCGTGGAGAAAGTGGGGAGAGTGGAACCGTGGTGGGAACAGTGGTGGGGACAGTGGGGACAGTGCAACAGTGGTGGGGGCACTGGTGGGGACAGTAGGGACGGTGGTGGAACCAGTGGGGACAATGGTGGTGAGGACAGTGGTGCTGGGAACAGCAGTGGGGGATGTGGTGCGGACGGTGGTAGGGACCGGGAGTCCTTTGCTGGCGGTGAGGGGGGGGAGGGGGAGGGGTTCGAACCGGTAGTGACCCCCCCCCGGCTTTCGAGGGGGAGGGGGGGGGGGTTCGAACCGGTAGTGACCCCCCCCGGTTTTCGAGGGGGAGGGGGGGGGTTGAACCGGTAGTGGCCCCCCCCCTTTTCATGATGGACCATGGGGGGGGAGGGGTTCGAACCGGTAGTGACCCCCACTTTTTTTCCGGAGGGGGGGGGTTCGAGCTGGTAGTAACCTTCCTCTGGTTTTCTGGGGGGGGGGGCTCCTTTCTACCAGTGGCCAAACCTGAATCCTAGGATTGTGGCGGCCTCCGCCTCCTCTTCCTCCTCCTCCTCCTTCTGTTTTTCCTCCTCCTCCTTCTCCTTTTTACCGTGGAATCCTTGTGGCGGCCTCCTCCTCCTCCTCCTCCTCCTCCTCCACCTCCTTCTCATCCGCCTCCTCCTTGTGTTCTTCCTCCTCCTCCTCCTCCTTATCCGCCTCCTCCTCCTCCTTCTTACAGGTGGCCAATCCTGAATTCTAGGATTGTGGCGGCCTCCTCCTCCTCCTCCTCCTCCTCCTCCTCCTTGTCCTCCTCCTCCTCCTCCTCCTCCTCCTCCCTCCTCCTCCTCCTCCTCCTCCTCCCTCCTCCTCCTCCTCCCTCCTCCCTCCTCCTCCTCCTCCTCTTCCTCCTCCTCCTCCTCCTCCCCCTCCTACTCGAGCCCCCATCCCCCCTCCCCGAGACCCCGCCTCCCCGCTCCCCACCCTCTGGCGGGAGGCGCGGCTGGCCCGCCGCTGGCGTGCTGGGAGGCGCCCCGCCCGGCCCGCCTAGCAGCGACGACGTTCGGCAGCGACGGCGGCCGCGGCTGCAGCGGTGCCGTCGTTCCGGACCCTGACACCCTCGCGCTGGGAAAAAAACATCACGACGGAAAGTACTTGGCAATCTTCGGCTTCCCGGGGCCCTCAGCGGGCCCCAGGGCCGCCACAAAAACAACGCGGGATGACAAGGTGGACCGGGAGGAGGGGGTCGAAAAACACGACGGAGGATGTTTGGGGAGTCTTTGTGATATCGGCGTGCGTTGTTGCTTGACGTGGCGGCAGCTTCACGGCATAGATGCTTCGCTTCCAGCTTGGCATTGCATTCAATGAGCCACCCGCGCAGCCAATCCCCCCGCGTTCGCTCGGCGTCGGCGAAGGGCTCATGCACGCTGGGCCAGCACAGTGGGCTAGAAATCCAGCACAGCACGTGGCCCGCTATGTTTCGGATTTGATGTCGTGCGCGGTGGATCAAGTGTGCGACGGATGCAATGCCATGTGACCGAACAGATTGGGCGCCCCCCTTGACGTCCATCGAATCGATCCAGCCAGGCACGACTTCTCGGCAAAGAAGTATCGACTGCGATGAGCATCCTTACTCTTTTTCGTCTTTCTCCTCCCTCATCGTCCTCCTGCTGGGTCAGCTGCTCCATCGTGGAGTCCCCACCCCATCAGTTGGGAAGCTGGTGCTCTTCATGACGAGTTGCGGCGATGGGTCAAACATCCACGCACTGTAGGCACGCAAAATGTGACATTGGCTTGCCAGCAGGTGCCCCACTGGAGGTTCTTATCCCCCCATGACCGTAGGACCCTCAAAGATCGACCAAGGATACGCCCCAAGATCCCCTGGACCGGCAGAGGATTATACTGCGAAGGCTTTACGGCCAGTGCCGCCGACCGTGAAGGCGGGACCTCCTCCAGGACCCCCGCTGGCGATCCCCCCGGGACCCGCCGGGGAGCCAGCACCTCCACCCCCAGGGTCCCCGACCCCCCTGGGACCCCCCTCCCCCCCATGGCGGGGAGGGGATCCAAGGGAAGGGGTTTCCCCTCAAAGCTCTTAGGTCCGGCTCCGGATCCAGGGAGCGGCGAGGATTCTGATCCGGGCCCGCTCCCCAGGACCTCCGCAACGACGCGACGAGTCCCCCAACGGCGCGGCGAGTCCGGCTCGAGGGTGATTTTCGTGATGTTGGGTTCCGTGGCAGCGACGACAACGGTGATGACGACGAGGCAAACGGACAAGCCCATTCCACACGCCGACAGGGTCGGCGGATTATATCATTTTTCTAGCAACATGGGGCGAACGACCAGTTGTTGGGAGACTTTGGCCCACGCTACAAAAATAAGAACACACAGACGCACACACTCACACACCTATACACACATACACACATACGCACACACAAACACTTGTTGGCGTCGCGGCCCCGCGCGCGGCGACTGGGTGTAGAAAGTCGGGTGCAAGCAGCGTAACGCGCGCGTCTAGCACACACACACATTCACACACACACACACGCACACACACACACACACACACACGCCGCAGAAGATCGGCACCGCCTAGGCAGCATCGCCAGCACCCGAGGCATTGCGATCTGGCGTCCTCCTTTTGAGTCGCGCCTCAGGGATGAGCCGAGCCAGACGCGAGCAGAAGCAGTTGGGAAGAGGGACCGAGGGAGCACCCAACATTTCCCAGCTCAGAGATCCGGCGCGTTGATTGGTTCAATGTGGGTGCCCCGGAAGTCGCGACCCTTTCTTCGAGCCGGCCTCTGATCCCGAGTCGTGATCTGATGGTCCCAGGGTCTCGCGAGGGCCACCATCGTGATTTTTGTTTACTGCGCGTGGGGAGGTAGGCGGGCGGCGGGGGTCCCCTCCCCCACCCGTGCCGAACACCGTGCTGACCAGTGGCTCCAGCCAAGTCCGGCCACGATGGCCTCCCGGCCGGACGGAATCGCAGGGGAGGCCGGCACCCTGGCGAGGCCGAAGAGCAAGCTTCGATCGCGCACTGCCAGACATCCGATGCCCTGGTGCTCTCAGCGCGTCGAGGCCTCCGAATTCCTCGACCCGGCCTCTCGCACACCCCGCGAGAAGCGGGGGGATGAGGACGGGGGACCTCAGGGGATCCTCCTCCACGATCTCCTCGACCCCACCTCTTCTTGCGCAAGCCGCGAGGAGCGGTGGGTGGGGGGGGAAGAAGAAGAAGAATAAGAAGAATAAGAAGAAGAAGAAGAAGAAGAAGAAGAAGAAGAAGAAGAAGAAGAAGAGAGGACCTCCCTCGGAGGAGCTTGATGTATACATCGACTCGTTTGGTCGGCCAGGGAGCCAAGGAATTCGGCGAAGGAATGCGGTGTACAGATAGTTCCAGTGTCCCACAGGTCGGGCGTCTATACGCCGAGCTCCTTGGCCGACCGCACGGCGTGAAGTATGCACCGATCCACCGCACCCCCCCCTTCCATTCTCTCTGAGTGCATCGCCAAGCACCGAGTGCATCGCCAAGCAACGCCAGCGTGGTCCACAGCGCCACTGGACAGACGACCACAAGATGTGATGGGGCCCGACCCAGCCGCCGACCTCCTCAGGAGGCGCTGCCGCGCACGCGCGTACGGGGAGCGGCATCGGCGCCTGTCCTGTCCTCTCCTTCGTGCCTTCCCAGTCGGCGGCGAGACATGTGGGGTGGAAGTGAGAAGGGGCTGGCCTTCTCAGAAGGCTCGGAGGGCCTGCGGCATCCTGTGAAGCTTTCGGAGCCCTCCCCGAAGACGCGGGAAGCTTCCCAGAATGCCGGAGGGCTTCTGAGAAGCCCCGCTGCCTTCTGAGAAGGCCTCCACTTCTTCTCCTCGCTCCGCCTCGCTCCTCGCTCCGCCTCGCTCCTCCTCCTTCCTCCTCCTCCTCCTCCTCCTCCTCCTCCTCCTCCTGCTGTTCCTCCTCCTCCTCCTCCTCCTCCTCCTCCTCCTCCTCCTCCTCCTCCTCGCCTCTCCTCGCTCCTCCTCCTTCTCACTTCCCCCCCCCCTGGCGCGCCGCCGACTCTCCTCGGCACCACGCCCAGCACGGCGGGGGCCTCAATGAGGGGCTTGATATCCCCCGCCCTGCCGGGGCCCCTGGAGCTGAGGCTTCTCGCAGAAGCAGCGCGGCCCTCTCGAGGGCGCTCTGGCAGCATCGGGGAGGAGGGAGGGAGGGAGGGGGGCGGGGGCAGCATCGAGGAGGCCCCCCCCCCCTCGCTCGCCGCCGACCATGTCCTCCCAGAGCCCCCATGGCGCCTCGGGCCTCTCGGGAGCTGCCTGCTCTCCCCCCCCCCGAGGGCGGTCGCCCTCTGGTTGGAAGCGGCCGTTGACGCGGTGCGCTCGTCCGCCTTCGCCGCCCCCCTCCTTGATCCAGAGGTGGGCCGAGCCGGACGGAGCTACAGTCGACACGCATAGTAAGGATGAGCGATTTTGCAAGTTGACCTTTGCATCCTTCCCCTTGGGCCCATCCTTGGCCGCTTTCGCTGGCCGCGCTCCGCCTGAAAGATGTCGGCATGGTCTTCCGAGACCCTTGCATCCTTCTCGTGCGCACTTCTTGTACGGGTTGACTGTAGGACGAGGGTACATCCGCTCCCGGCGCGTTCGCGGCGTGGTGCGTTGGTCCACTTCCGCCACCCCCCTCTTCCATCCAGGGGTGGGCCGCGTCGGACGGGCGCGGTGCGCTCATCCATCTCCGCTGCCCCCCTCCTCGATCTGGAGGTGCGGCGCTAGGGCGAGGATAAATCCGCTCCAGAGCGTTCCGGGGCGCGGCCGGGGGCGCGGTGCGCTCGTCCGCCTCCGCCGCCCCTCTCCTGGATCCAGAGGTGGCCCGAGTCGGACGGGGCTCTCGGGGAGGCTCTCTCGGGGCATGGCTCAGAGAAGGGAGATCCGAAGGGCCGCCGTCGGCGGCCGCCCCGTGCCGCCCCTCCAAGGAGGGCGGCAGGGGGGAGGAGATCGGCTACAGTGGGACCGGGGTATAAGATCGAGGTGGGTTCGGAGAGGGTACCCTAATGTTCTTCGCGTTTGCTGGATGTTCTTGTGCATTCTGGGGAGGGTACCCTTGGATGTTCTGTGTATTTTCGCCGACGGAGGGTCTCGAAGGACGTCATTCTGGCCTGGGTTCAGCTGTACAAGTCGGACGGGGCTGGGACGAGGAGGAATCCGTTCCAGAACGCTCTCGGAGCGTTCTGGAAGCCTGTGAGAAGGCCGCGGCGCCCGAGACCTCCCCCAGAGCCGGCGGATCTCAGGTATTCTCGATGTGTTATCACCCGACGTTACTTTTGCGAGTAGGATCGAGCAGAGAGCAGTGAGGAGGATGCTTACCAGCCTGGAACATATCCCTATCCTTAAGCTGGGCATCGCCTCATCACAATGCCAATCTTAGGGATTCCCTTATGTTTGAGGGCGCATCCCTGAGATTGTTATCGCTTTTGGCGTGTCAATCTTAGGGATAGGGATAACTTCGAGGCTGGTAAGATGCAGCGAGCAGCGCGGGGCGAGGAGGGAGGCCGGGGGATCGCAGAGCAGCGGCCCGCGACCAGGCGTGCTCTACGTCTGCGGGGGGCGCGACGAGCAGCGGGAGCCGCTGAGCAGTGCGCGGCCCACGCCCCCCCCCTCGGGGGGTGGGAGCCCTCGCGCCGCGCCCACCAGTGCGGCCGCACCTCGCTTCAGGAGAGTATCGCCCTCGTCACCCCTCCTCTCTTCCTTCTCTCTTCTCATCCCCTTCTTCCTCCTCCTCATCCTCATCCTCCTCCCCCTTTCTCCTCCTCCTCCTCTTCCTCCTCCTCACCATCATCATCATCATCATCATCATCATCATCATCATCATCATCATCACCACCACCACCACCATCACCATCACCATCACCATCACCATCACCATCACCATCATCACCATCATCACCATCATCACCATCACCATCATCCTCATCAGCATCATCATCATCACCATCATCATCATCATCAGCAGCAGCAGCAGCATCAGCATCAACATCATCATCATCGTTCCTCCTCCTCCTCCTCCTCCTCTTCCTTCTCCTCCTCCTCCGCCTCCTCCTCGTTCCTCCTCGTTCCTCCTCCTCCCCTGAGGGCGCACTCCTCGTGGGCAGCGCTGGCGTGAGGCGGGACAGTCATGAGCGGAGTGGAGTCTTTTTGCTTGCCAGCCGCGTGCGCGGATCGACTCGGCAGGAGGGAACGTCGCGAACCACAGCGCTGTATGGGAGGGCGGACGAGGAGGAGAAGGAGGAGGAGGAGGAGTCGAAGGAGAAGGAGGGGGAAAATGAGGAGGAGGAGGAGGGGGAGGAGGGGCGAGGGAAAGGGAGGGGAGGGGAATGTTGTGGGCTGCCGAGGCCTCCGACGTCGTGATTGTTGTCCCCGACCCCTTCCCCAGAACCCGCACCCCGAGCCGATCTTCGACGGTTCTAGGGCCTGGTAAGGGCCCCCAGCGGCCGACAAGGGCGAAACCAGTCCGCCATGATTTTGTCACGACCTGGCGGAGTCTGGGTGTGCTCCATCACCCGTGCACTGCCTCTTCGCACATCACCTTGTGACCGAAGGCGCCGCTCCCCTCATACGCCACTGCGCGGCAGAGCGCCCGAGGTGCCGAGCGATTGTCACCTGGAGCCACCGTGTGGGAGAGCTTGCCGCCCATGGCCGGAGGGGTGGAGCAGACGAGCAGTTGCGGGCTGATGCATTGTGATCTTGATCGGAGAAGGAAAACATGCATCTGCGCAGAAAGTGTTTCAGGTCCGCGCGGATTGCTTAGGTCGGCGCCCGACCCCCCCTGGCGGAGCCTCTGGTACCGGCCCTGGCGCCATTCGCGCACCAGGGCACAGGGGTCCAGCGCCGACCCAAGCAATCCGTGAGGAGTTCCGAGAGTTTATGTGATCGCCAATTTCTATTCTTATTGTGCAGGACACTGTTCGGTGATAGATGTTATGTGCGTGGCGGAGCTTGCAGCGCATAGGAGCGTATCATGCGTCATGGGGTTGGATGGAGGAGCAGCTCCAGAGCGGACACAGCGCTCGCGAGAATGGTTAACACATGGTAGAGCAGGTGCAGTAGATATTGAACGAAACGCCAGCTCTGTCTATTCACTGCCAGCGTTACCGTGCTCACTCTGCTCGTGTACTGTGAGGGATCCGCTGGATTGGAGTATCATCTGCGCGGACCTGGAGAAGGTTCGCGAATCACCCGTTGTATGACAACAGATCCTTTTGAACAAACCTGTGCAACAATCCCCCTGGAACGCAAAGGATTTGGGGGATTCGGATCCTGGGGTGCGTTCTGACTAAAGGTTCGAGGGAATCCAGGCGACAATTCTGGAGGTCCATAAAGATCTGTGAAAAATGGCATCGGTTTGTAAACCTGAGGTCCGACCAACAATCACGACACTAGCCCCAGACTCCATCTTCCTGCGGCACTGCTTGAGACGGATCGATCCATAAGGGCCCCGGGGCCCGACACCAGAACCCCAGAGTGCACAAAATGCCACGCCTGGATCACAGGAAAAGTGCGTTTGAGGGTCCATGTTGACCAGATGATTCCGACCTGCTCGGACTATCCGAGGCTTCCCGATGTTTGCATGGCGTTGTGGTCCTCAGCGCATCCTGGAACAGCCGAAAAGATCCGATTTCGTCTCCATGCCGATGCAGACCGATCCGACGCACATGACGACGATACGACCCGATATCCAGATTTGATGTTGACTGATCTAATCCTCCCTTCATCCGATGCCTCAATTTGTTGTTTAATTGAACGCCCCTGAGGGGGCAGACGCCGCCGCCCCACTTTTTGTTTGGAAACGCGGAGGTTGCGTGGGGGGCAAATCGGGATGTAGCGGGGGTGTTCACTCAGCTTTGGCTGGGCTTTTGTTAAGTGGGGTCTTAAAGACGCCAAATTGGACAATCAGGTCTCAGAGGGCCTGGAAAAATACGAAAGTGGGGTCTTAAAGGCTCTCAGAAAGCCCAGAGAGAGCCTGAAAATGACCTAAACCAACGCCAGAAAGCCGTAAGAAAGTCTGAACATGATTTAAAGAGGACGCCTGAGGGTGTGCAAAAAAATTGGACGAAAAGGAAGTGGCATACGGAGAGGCGTACAAACGAGATCCCAGTTAGTTTGGGGGCCTCAAAAGGGACTTCGGGGACCCCCTGGGCGCGCCCAGGACGGCCCAAGAAAGCCCCCAAAATGCTGCCAGGCGGCCCAGGCCGGGGTCGGGAGTCGTGGAGGACAGCCGCAGAGAGCGACCGCTGAGTCCAACGTGCTCCCAAGAGCCCGCGAAGACGCACGTGAGCTCGAAACGAGGCAAAAATAGAGGCTCGACAAGGCCAGAATGGACATACTCATATGTGTTTTACGAGGTCGTTTGCGTGTTGTTTTTTATAGTCGAAGTGGGCCGAGGAGAGGTGGGCGGGCTGCCAGACTGGACCAAAATGGCTTGGAGGACGGCCAAGATCGCCCCAGGAGAGCGTCTGGAGGCCTCCAAAATCGAGCCAGCGAGCTCCCGGAGAGGCCTCTGAGAGAGGCTGGCGGCGCCTTGAAGACGAACATTTCCAACGAGGTGTGTTCTGAAGCGAAAATGATGGCCAAAGAGCGCTCATTCCGCAGCTGTGGCCCCCGAGCCGGCGGAATGAGCAGGCCGCGGGGAGGACCCCGGGAGGGGTTGCAAGGGCTCTGAGGAATGGGCATTGGTACGAGGAGTTCGTGCGCGCGTAGATTGAGGGGACTGAGTTCGTACAGACCATGCGGCGGGGATCTCGCACGCCGTTCCCGGTGGGGCGGCGGATCGCTTCGCTCATTCCGCCGGCCCATATTGCCTCGCCGTTGTCTTTTGTCTGGGTGGTGTTGTCACTGCGGTGCCGTTGGGCGGCTGCCATTTTTCGGAGGCGGTGGGTGGTGGGTCAGAGGCCTCGTGGACGTTGGTCGGGCCCTCGTGGTTGGCCTCTCTGGGGCCTCTGGGAGGCAGTTTTGAGGCCTCGTCGGGGCCGCGTTGCGGCCTCTTGGGGCCTCTTGGGGGCCTCTTGGGGCTTCTTGGGGTGCCTCTTGGGAGCTCCCTGGGGCTTCGTGGGGGCCTCTTGGGGCTTCCTGGGGGCTTTTCGGGGCTGAAGGCTAGACTATTCGGCTCCTGGTCCCAATCTTGGGCGACGTCGATTTCTGCAGGACCTGCGCGTCAAAGCGGCGCTGTCTGGTGGCGCCGCAATGTTCCCAGGCGTCGGCGATTGCATGACCAAAGAGCCGACGGCACTGACTCCTTCCACATTGAATATCAAGGTGGTGGCTCCGCCCGAGCGCAAGTATTCAATGTATATCCGTGGATCTATCCTTCTCTCGAAGAGCACCTTCCAGCAGATGTGGATCTTCAAGGGGGGCTACGACGAGCCGGGCCCCACTGCACAGGAAGTGTTTCTGACGGTTTGCCCTCGGCTGACTTTCGGAGCCAGGCAATCTAGAGTCGTCCGGCGTGTTGGATGGAGGTTGTGAGCTCGCCTTGCGCCCCAATGTTCACAGTTGGCGTTGGCAGTGTTAATTCGCAGTGGCGCGCTGATTTTCTGAAGTGCGCCAAGACAGTTATTTGTGTCTCTGGCATGTACAGCTATTCTAGTAGATGCGATGCGCATATGCAGGCCGTACTTTTGGCTCGCAGGCCCTCCGTGTTACAGTGTGCCAGAGGAGGCCACCATCCGGACGGCTCATGAATGGCATGCCCTTGGCGGCTTCTGCAATACAGGTTGCATATGTCTTACCTATACTCCTTCCATCTCTTCCCTACCAGTTTGCATGCTTTGTTGACGTCTTTGATGGGCTACCGTCGTGCTGGCCTTCGCAGATGACCCCAGCCGCGGCCCGCATGCGGCGTCGCAGGGGGGATTCGTGGATTCGTTTTTGCTTCCCCTCCCCCCCTCCCCTCGCCCCTCCCTCCCCCCCCTCCTCCCCTCTCCTCGTCGTTGCGGGGTTGGGCGTTCGGCCTCCAGGGGCGGCTACCGCGCCAGAGCTCTGGCGCCGCCCCGTCTGCGCAGGTCGTGCGTTGAGGCCCGTAGGTCACCCCATTTTCGGAGCGCCGGGCCACGCTCTCCCACGTTCGATGTTCACTGGGTTCGTTCGGCTTCTTGCTCATTTGCAGCTTCACCCTGTCACTCAGGGGTTTGGGCTTCAACTGCGCACCAACGCCTGGAACATCAGAATCTGTCCGGGCGTCGTGCCTCCATCCTCCCTCTCCACTCCTTATTCCTGATTCGTTCTTCCCTTCGATGTGCGTGGCCCTAGCGAGCTTTGGTTTCCGCCCGCCCGGCCCGGCCCGAGCGGCGTGTGGATTTTGTGTTGGTTCTTTCTTCGTGTTTGCCTGGCTGTTCTTATACAGTTCGTGTCTGGTGCCAGCCGCCGCTCGGCCGCATTCGGCATCTCGTTTCGTTATCCCTCCTTCCCTCCCTGTCGTTCTCTCGTTCTCGTTTTTTGTTTCCGTTTCGCATGCGGTACGCTCGCCAGGCCACGGTTCAGCACAGGTTTTTGTTTGCTTATCGCAGGTCGGTTCGCATGGTGTTCCTTGTTCGCCGGGCGATTTTTCGCGCAGCGATGAAGGCCGAATCGGGTCAAGTTTTGTGGTCGAGCTTTTTCCTCTTTAGAAACTGGATCGTGTCAAGACACCATGCTTGGGGTCTCCACGCCGCGAATCAACGTAACTGTTGCGCCCAGATAATCCTAAGCTTTGCCAGAATACCGTTCTTGGAACTTCAACACCGCTAAGCCACTTAACGATTGCGTCCCGACAGGCTTAGAGTCAATCTAGCCAGAACACCGTTCTTTGGAGTCCAACCAAGCGACCACTTGAATCTGTTTCATTGTTTTACGACTCATGTGCGTGGCGTGAGGGGCGAGAACCATATTTTGGAAACGTGCCGCCACACTACGCGACGATACCGCGAGAGCAGCATTTTGAACACGTGCCGCCCTCCATCCGTGAAGCTGTTGCAAAAATTAAGACGAATGCGCGCGGCGCTTAGGCGAGAAACCCATGTTGGAAACCACCTGCCGTCCATCCGTGAAATTGTGACACAAGTTTGAGACGAATTTGCGCGGCGCCCAGGCGAGAGCCACATCTTGAAAACGTGCCGCCTTCCATCCGCGAACGTGCTGCAACAGTTTAAGATGAATGCGCGCGGCGCTAAGGCGAGAACCACATTTAGAGAGCCACCCGCGCTCCATCCGTGAAGCTGCTTCGAAAGTGTGTGACGAATGTGCGCGGCGCTAAAGCCATCCGGGACAATTGTTGCGAATGTCAGGTAGCAGGGTCATACACGAGGAGGAAGTCTGAGGCGAAACGCCCGGCCCGCCATACTAACACGCGTGGGGGTGCGACAGGGGGGAGCTATTACAAAGAAGTGAGATGGCGGAGCAGGAACAAAAAGGAAGGGGCGCACCTACACTCAGGTGTTGTGCTGTAGCAGGATGGAGGACAAGGAGGGAGGACGACGAGTGAGCACGAAGAGGTGGTGGAGGCGGTGGAGGTGAAGGTGGAGGAGGAGGAGGATAAGGTGGAGGAGGAGGAGGAGGAGGAGGAGGTGGAGGAAGAGGAGAGAGAGGAGGAAGAGGAGGAGGAGGAGGAGGTGGTGGAGGAGACGGAGGAGAAGGTGGAAGAGGAGGAGGAGGAGGAGGAGGAAGAGGATGAGGAAGGAGGAGGAGGAGGTGGAGGAGGTGCTGGCGGTGGGGCAGAAGCAGGTGGAGCAGGAGGTGGAGGAGTTGGCGGAAATCCCCCCCGCGGGCGTCCCAGCACGGCCAGCGCGCTGGGGCGGCCGCTGCCGCCGCCGGCGGCAGGCGCGCCCCCGGCCGGACCCGGCCAGGGCACAGTCCAGACCACGGCGGCGGCGGTCCCATCCTCGGGGGCAACGTACGTTAGGGAGGGATAGCCCAGGGGCGGGCATTACAGGTATTCGCCCTGGCGCCTCGCCGAAGGCATGGACTACCAGCGCCTGGGCTATTCGCCCCCATCGACGCCCCCGATCTTCAGGGGCAACGTTAAGGGGGGATAGGCTCAAGGGGGGGGCGCATCGACCCCCAATCGCCCACTGATCGCGGATACGGGCCCGATATCCCCGCCGCGCCCAGGAGCTTTCAGATTCGCAATCGGTGGTCTATCGCCGATCTGTCGGCGATGTATCGCCGATTCCTTGTTTATGTTTACCCTGCTGAGTTGGTCCCCCCCTTATCATTGCCCTTCACGTACGTATGATGTGTACAATCCGGACGTTGTTCCTTCGATTTCGGCCTCCAGTACCTGTTACGGGGCCGCCGGACCATCAAACATGGATCAGGGACGAAGAACAAAATACCCCCGGGAAGTAAAACCGGAGGATGGCCGGGGTGTCCGAGGGGGTGGGGATAGGGGGCTCGCCAGCTCCTCGAAGCCGAGATTTCCAGGAACGAAGCCCGGGGGTGTTTTGCAGACGTTTGGGATCGTTTTGGGAGGCTTTGGGATGCTCTTGGGGGCCCAGCTTTCTCCGGGAAATGGCGCTTCCTCGAAGAAGTGGCGACCGCCCTAGCGGTTACCCCCCTTGGCATTACCCGACTGGCCACGGCGGCGACGGCGCTCCTCAATGGCAGCGTTCCCAGACATGCTGGCGATGTGAAAACAGGCCAACGCAGGGTTGTCTGCAGTGTTCGGCATCTAGGGGCCCTCGCCAGGCCATGGGACCGCAGTCAAAAAACTACAAGGGACAGATCCTGCCGTCGCAGTCTTGTCAACTTGGGGGATTATGCCCTTCGGGCCCCAGGATCCTTACGGATCGGTCGGGCTTGAAAAAACGCCGTCATGTGGGGTCTACCGTCGGGATTGTTTGGTTCCTGTAGTACGTCTCACCGCCGGTTTTGGCCCACCACGCCTCGCCGCGACACGCTATCCATGTCGCTGTCCCCAAGAGTCAGCGTCTCGAGATTTCCCCGGGTCTCCCGGCCCGCGGAGCGGAGCGACGCGCTATCCGCTTGCAGGGCATAGCGTGTCGCCAAGGCTGCCGGGCGACACGCTACGCAACCGTTCCCCACCGTAGAGTTCCAGTCGCGATGTTTCGCGATGTTGCAATTTTGCCTGGCGGTGCCCAGGCCCGGGCTCCGCTTCGAGCCATATGGTCCTGACTGCACCTCGGCCGGGGCACAGTCAATACCACGGCTCGGGCAGTGCCAGGGGGGGTCACCACTACAGCTACAGTCAACTCGCATAGTAAGGACGCGCGCCTTTTCTAGGGTACCCTTGTGTCGTTGCCTCTGCGGCCCGTCCGTTGCCGTTTCCACTGGCCAGCCTCTCAGGGTACCCTTGGTCAGAAACTGGAACATCGACATCACCAGAGGCGATTTGTTATTCAATCCCAGGACATGTTCGAGGGTCGGGGACGACGTCGGGGTGGTGTGGTGTATACTTGTTTTATCCGTTTCCCGCGGAAATAACAAAATTGAAAGTCCCGTACACACCAGGACCAAATTTCCTGTGCAAATTTCAGTGCCGGGCCGGAACAGGCGTCGGTGTATAGAGTTCGCTTCCTGATTTGGGGGTTCGTCGCCCGCCGCCCAAAAAATACCCACTTCGGCCTCCAAGGGTCTTACGTCCTTACCACCCGTCATGATTACGCGTTCTCATTGTAACTAGTTTTGGGGGTCACCAGCTCCTCTTGCAAATTGAGGTTCATGATCGAAGATTGAGCCGGTTTTGGGGCGTTGGGGGTAGTTTAGGAGGCCGTGAAGTGGCGTGTCCTCGAAGAAGTGACGACCCCCCATTGACGACCTCACTTTGCAATACCGCCACAGTCCAGACCAGACGTGCGGAGTTCCCAGCCGATCTCTTGGATTGGCACCGGGCCCCCTGGCGGTGTTGGCGCGCTCCACGCGCCAGGGAAGGGGTCAGCGCCGATCCAAGAAATCCGTGGGGACCTCCGAAAGTTCCTGTGTATGCAGTTTCTTCTTGTGAGACCACGGCGGCGGCAGTGGCGACGGCGTTCCTTGAGATCAACATGTTCCACAGACCCCTTCGTTTGCCCAGGCGACTGCTGCGCCGTCTCCTCTGTTTTCCGTGATGCGTACTGCTACGTTGTTTGATGTTATGTTGTGTTGAGTTGTTTGAGCATCCCCTTCTCCTCCTCACCCTGTTTCCGTTTCCCTCCTCCGCTCTTTTCCCCCCCTGGGGTTCGGAAGTGTCGCGGGCAGGCCCGGAAACCGAAAAAACAAAGAAACACGAATTAACATAATGAAGAAACGCAAAGACAGCAACGCCAACCGAAACAACAGAGAAAAGTTGTGATGTTCTTGTTTATTGTTGATTGGTTGGCGTGTTTTCTTGGTCGTTCATTGTGGTGTCTTGTTTTTTTTGGTTTCCTTGCCTGCCCGCGGGCCTCCAAGGACCCCAGGCCTGCCGGCGGCCGCCTAGGGGGCAAGGCAGGCCAGGAAACCAAGAAAAACAAGAACACACGTAGGACAAGTCAAGACAACAGCAGCGCTAACCAAGAACAGCTGGAAAAATACTGGTGTTCTTGGTTTGCTTGATTGGCTGGCGTGTTTTCTTGGTTTGTCCTTGTGCCGTTTGTGTGTTTTTTGCTTTCGTGGTTTCCTTGCCTGCCTGCGGGCCCCCATAGGCCCCCAGGCCTGCCGACGGCGAATTGGTGGGCAGGCCAGGAAACCAAGAACACCAAGAAACCACAACAAACAACCAAGA